CTGTCAAAATTATCTTACGGTGACTCTGTTTATGGACCTGCTCTTTTACAACGTGATGCCGAGCGGATTCAGATGATACAAAACTCATGCAACAGATTTTCTTATGGAATCCGTAAATTTGATCATATTAGTAGCGCTTTTGACCAATCGGGATGGTTTAAGATGAACAAATTGAGGAAACTGCATTGCCTATCTCTGGTACATAAGACCCTTATCCTTAAAGCGCCATATTATCTTTATACAAAACTAAGCCTCCTCTGCCAGTACGATCAAAGATCCTCTAGGAATAAACTCATCTTACTTATCCCGCGGCATTCGACAGCATTGTTCACAGGCAGTTTCTCGTACTGGGCACCCAAACTATATAACTGCTTATCAAGTGAGTATAAAGAATATAGCCTAAGCAATTTTAAAAAAAGGTTAAAGATGAGTTTAAAGCAGTCGGATGGCTAAAATTTTACTTTATGCATATCCACAGGTAATTGATTGTTTCCTTTCTCTGATAAGTGTTATATTCTAAGTTTTTTTTTCTCTCTCTCTATAGTTTGTGTCAATGTTTTCCAGGTCGGGTTGAAAAACAGCATAAGCTGACACTCCAGCTTTTCGTCACTGTTCCTTTTAAACCAATTATTTTGTAATCGTGTGACGAATAAAGGCCATTTATTATTATTATTATTATTATTATTATTATTAAGGCCCGACGGAATTTTGGCCCCCTGCTTTAAACCCAGCCTTCACTTGAAGCAGACGCCTAATGTTGAATTAATAAAAAATCTGGTTTATATTGTTAGGAATAAAGTAGTAGAGTAACGAATTTCTGTGCCCTTGGCTCTGTTTCTTATAAATTGTGACTTTTGTTCTAGCGTGGAGTATTTCATCAAGACTTATAAAAATCGTTATTTCTATGGTTATGAAGCTAATACTTTATCATTTTTATAAAAAGTGTTTTTAATGATTTTTTTGTCGAATATGGTTCAATTTACTAATAGTGAAATGGCAGGTATGCATTTATTTCTGCTATGAAATGGCTCGTGGAAACTCTAATGCTGCAAGAATTTACTAATAGTGAAATGAGAGGTATGCATTTATTTCTGCTATGAAATGGCTCGTGGAAACTCTAATGCTGCAAGACGCATTTATCGTGGAAGATTTCCTCAGCGTGTAGTGCCTTGTAGAAGAACTTTTGTACGTCTCCATGCACGACTTTCTGAAACAGGCAGCTTTACAAGATCGACGATTGTCATCGGTACGAACAGTTCACAAGAAGCTGTTTTAAATGATTTCGAAGCAAATCCTAATACCAGTACTCGGAAAAGAACTGAAGAACTGAATATTACCAACGTCACACTGTGGCAGATTTTAAGAGGCCAGCAGCTATATCCATATCAAATGCTACGAGTCCAGGCTCTATTGCTCAGAGATACGAGCTTCTTCTGATTGGTAACGCAATAAAATGATAGGGAATCCATGTTTTCTAAGGTGAATATTTTGTTTGTTTGTTTAAGATTTATTTAGCATGATTGCTACAATTACATTCTTCTAAAAAACTAAACAATTACATAACTTAAAGACATTCAGAAAAAAACAAAATTTGCATTTCTAAGAATTTTCATTTTCAATGAAATATTCCTTCAATTTTCTTTCAAATAGCTTTAAATTACAAGTATCAAGTTATCATTATTTAGTTTATTAAATTCAAGTAATCCTTTCTGAAATATTGATTTGCTAGTTATATTACTATTGCAATTTTGTAAAAGAAAATCTATATTTCCTCTTGTATAATAATAGTGGTAATGATTATTCAATTCTATGTAGTGCTCTAAATGTTCTGGCAAAAGATGATTTTATATTTTAAATATAAAAATAAGAACCAAATATGATATGAAATTTTTTATATTCAACCACTGCAATTCTTGTAACATAGATTTTATTTTGATTTACTTATTTTTATTCAATATTATTATCATGGCTTTATTTGGAAGCCTTGTAATTTTGAGAATACAGCTTCATTGGCAGTGAACAAGATAGTCGAACAATATAGTAAATAAGGTAGGATAATTGTATTATAAACTATTTTCTTGAAATAGATACCAAGACTAAGAGAAACAATATAAAAGTAATTTGTTTTTTTTGCCAATTTTTGGAATAATGTATTCATAGTGATCCTCAAACTTTAGTTTACTATAAATATATATATATATATATATATATATATATATATATATATATACCTAAACATTTAATTGATTCAACATTTTCAATTATTTCTCCATTTATCCTAACTGTGATAGTATTTTCATTTAGGTACATCCCTATTAGTATACATTTTGTTTTAGAAGTATTCAATTTTAGTTTATTTACATTTAACCAATTTATGATTTTTGACAAGTCAGAATTTATCATTTTTAAAGCAGTGTCTATATTTTCATCTGATATGTATATTAATGTATCATCTACAAATATCTGAAGTTTACAATAATCTAAAATATTACAAATGTTATTAATGTATAATATAAGTAGTAGTGGACCTAGCTGACTACCTTGTGGTAACAGAAATATTTTTTGATCTTGATAATATAGATCCAATTTTGGTTTTTTGACTTCTGTCCATTAAATAGTTTTGTAGAATTTTGAATACAGATCCATTAAGTCCGTAGTCATCCAATTTTGTAAGTAATTTATCCCTGTCAATAGTCTCAAACGCCCTTTTGAAGTCCAAAAATACTGCTACTGTATGTATTGTCCATACATCTCCTCCTGTCCTCTAAAACCATTTGTGTTGCCGTTTCCGTTGAGTGTTTCTTCCTGAATCCAGCTTGAAATTTGGTTAAAATGTTATTTCCCTCAATAAATTTCGATGAACTGTTCGTAAATAATTTCTTCAAAAACTTTTTCAACATCTGGCATAACATTTATTGGCCGCATATTGGTGTACAACTCAGAATTCTTAACTTTAGAAACAGGAGTTATGGTAGAACACTTCAGTTTTGTCGGAAATTCGCCATATTTTAAACAGTAATTTATCACGATTAATATTCTTGCTCCAATAATATAAAAACATTCATTAAGCACACTTTTAGACAAAATCTCACTGTTATTTGAGTTGCTTTAATTTTTGATGTAATCTTCTTGAAACAATTAATGTTTATTGTTCTAAACTCACTTAATGATGCATTATAATCTGAGCTAATGGGACATTGGTTGGTATACCCATCAATAATTGATTTTGCAATGTCGTTGACACTCTATGAAATGGGTATTCATTCAATCTGCTATTATTTCTTTATTTGTTATTACCCCATCGACGAATTTTATTTTAGATAATGTACTTTTTCTAATAGAGCAAACAATGTTTTTCATCGTTTTCCACATATGTTTGCTATTATTTTTACTCTGATCAATTTTGGCATTGTAATATTTTTTCTTTTCATCTCGTAGAACTGCTACAGATTGGTTTCTTGATCTTGTGTATTCTAGCCAATCATTTTCACTTCCAGTAATCATAAACTTTTTATAATTATAGTCTCTTTTTAATTTAGAATCCTTGAAGGTTTGCGAGAATCAAGGTGTTGGATTTTTCCTTTTATAAATTGTTGTCTTGACTGTAGCTCCTTTTATGCAAACTTCAACATTATCCAATAGGCTTGTATCAACATCAACAAACGCTTCAGTCATATCCTGCACTAAAATAGCTTCTCGTAATTTTACATAGTTAATATTGGTAATTTCTTCCACTTTGTTAGCATCAAATTTACTTTCTACTCCAAAACATATCCATGAATGATCATTGATCTTAGGAGTATGCATAACTTTTTCAATTAAATTTTGTTCGTTCGTTATTATCAATCAGTTTACAGATGAAGGTTGTTTTTCTCGCAATTCAATTATGTATTAACTTCCACATCAATAAATTTTCACGAACAGTTTTCTTTTAAAATTCGGGTTGGAGTTGTCAGTGGCCAGACTTAATGAAGAATATCGGAGGTTTATAGAATTCGTTTTACCTGGGCTTTTAGTAGTTCCAGTCATGGAAAGATTCCGAGGCGGCTAGACGGTTGTATTGGAGCCGGAAAGGGACATTTCCAACACCTAATTTAGTGAAATGTGTTAGTCTATATGTTAATGTTATGCTGTTGTTGCATAATTAGTAATAAAAAATTATAAAAAATAATAATTTCCAAAAGAAACTTTTCCCCATACCCCTTATGGGATATGCAATTAAGTGGACCTTTTTTCTCTCGAAAACTAAGCACGATACGAAAAATTGCACAAATGTCAGTGGCATAAATTTTTTGTCACAAATATTCGTTCAGATCCCGCCCGAGACGCCACTGGACTTAATAAATTTAATCAAGTTTGGGTTAAATTAGCTACTTAATGTTATAAATACCACCGACAAGTTACAACAAAATAAGGTAAAGGATATTTAAGATATTTACGAAAAAACATTTTTTATACCCTATATCTTGAGAACGACGGATTTGCGGTCTGTGTTTATATGAACTTTTTGAAAAATCGTCTGTTAAATTTATAAAACAACACGTTGGTATATTTATACATCTCCAACCTCAGTAATTCTGAGCACATATTAGGCAAATTTCATCCATCATAGATATCCCCGTACATTTACCCTTAAAACTAAAAATATTCTACAGTCGGGTGTCGATACGTGCGACGTCGTCCCCCGATGGACAAGCGTCGTCGTTGTCGGTCGTACGTCACAGTCGGCAATCCTTTGCACTGCTGTGGGCTGCGCTGTGTGCACTATGCATGGTGAAGGCCAATAACGTCATTCACGCGGGATTGGTCATCGCAAAGATCATGTGCGCCTGCAGCGATTTCTCGCAGGGGGATGAGGAAGGTAATTTATTTTTCTCAGAAGGGCCAAATTGTGCCAAACAAGGTTGACTGCTCTGCTGAAGAAGGCCCAACATGAAAGGTTTATGTATACTTCGATTGGGCGCTTATGGTATAGCTTTATTCATTAAAATAAAAAACAATACATTCAAAATAATTTAATATGAATCTTGTGATAAACTTAATACAAGTATGATTCATTCCATGAAAAAATATAATTATGACACATATATGCACACGCGGATTGCAGTAGTTCTTAGCGAATCATGTTCATTTCAGGACTCTGAAAAAGAAAATGTTAATGATCAATTTTTGAGTAAGCATTTTCAGCAAGTATTTAATAAAAATATTTTCAAAGAAACTGGCACCATTCACAGGTATACCAGGTTACCAACCAGAATAGCAACATTCTGCTGCTTGTATTATATGGGTCATTAATGTTATCCATGTTGTCATCTATTTTTTTAATTCCATCTGTAGTTACAGTTTTTTAAAATATAAATTTTAAATAAGGGGTTTGCAGTATATTACATATTTTGTACCTCCTAATGACTTAACAACTATAGGTGAGATCTTGAAACTTTAAACTGTCATTTCTACACTGAAATTTAGTATTTATATACACCGACAAAAATAGTCAAAGCTTGCGCATATTTTTGGCGGAATCAGTTGCTTTCCTATGAACATTCAAAAAACACCTTAAACTGCAAAATAAAAATGCAACAAAAGCCAAAAAGTTACCTCTGTATCCCAAAAAATCTTTCAAAAATGTATTGCCAAAGTATGTCTTAACTGCCTTGCATTTTATGAGAAAAACATATACCTAATCTTCTAAAAACATACCAAATACACTAAATACAGAGTTCTACCCACATGTAACACAACTGTTTCTTACGTGTTAATTTCTTAGAAAAGTAAATCATTTTTCAAATCAGATCACTGAGCACACTGGTGAATACTCAGCTGAATACCCAGTACCTGGTATTGTAATCTTACCAAGCACTTGGTACCCAGCTTTTTAAAAAGGTAGTACTCAGTGCATTCCTAATTGAGACACCAAATAAAAGCAATATATAATGCTTACTCCAAATTTTTATAATCCAACAATGGATCAACAACTTCAAAGATATTGTAATATTTTGATGCCCTTTTTGCCAAATCAGCTGCTGTTTCTCCACTATTATTCTTGATGTTTGGGTCTATGTAAGGATGAGCCAGGAGTAATTGTACAGTTTCATAAGATACACCATGTGATGCTGCAATATGTAGGGGGGTTTGACCTACAAAATTAATTAAGTAGTTAGAAGTAAATGGTCACATTCATCAGACCATAGCCCCAAACACTAACAGTGACAAGGATACACTGACACATAAATACAAAAATGTAAAAGCCAGTGATTCCTATTCTGATAAATGTGAAGAATGATAAAGCTCCTGCATTTTTATGATCCTGATAGAACTCTAATAATAATGAAGGGTTGTAAGTTTTGAAGGATTACTAGTCAACTTACTGCCTTCCGATTTAGCATTAACATCAGCACCATTCTGTATGAGTATCCATGCACATTTTACATGGTTCCATTGACAGCAGGAATGAAGGGGTTGCCACTGCATTTCTGTTCTTGCTGAAATATCAGCTCCATGTTCAATTAAGTATTCTACTATATCTGGGTTATTGCTGTAACATGCCCTAAAAAATGCTCATTTTTTTTAAATAGTCCAGGTAGGCACAGAGCACCATAGATGTGTGCCAATTTCCACCATGTGACTATGCACCATCACCATATGAGAACTTGACCACTTAGTATGTGAACATAGTCATTATCCTATTCTGTTAGATGTGTTGATTTGCTCTATAGCCATGTTCAATTTGTGTCACCACACAGCAAAATGATACATGTGTGCATTATCTGATGGAATATAGGACATAAGATGCTGAAGTTGATTTTGTGAATGCCACACATTAAACAGCCAAAGGACAAGGACCACAAAGATCATGATATAAGTTGTATTGCAAACAAATAGTCTACCTATGTAAAGGTGTATAACCATCCTTATCTCTCACACCCACTAGATCAGGGTGCTCTTCTAAGATTTTTTTTACCTCTTCAAGTGTTCCATTTCCATTCTCACAGGCATCCAGTATTTTCTTCTCTAATGTGTCTGAAATTATGTTTGAGCTCAATTTTTTGACGTAAAAGATATTTCAAAACATTCCAGAAATGTCTTACCTGTTGGATTCCTTGTTTCGTCAATATCATTTATATCATCTTCCCAACCACTAACTAGGAATCTCTCGTCGTTCATTATTTTGAAAATGCCGTCAACAGTCAACACCTTTTGATTTTTTTTAAAATAAAAGATGTTTATGTTTTTTGTAGGTTATGATCATGAACTGCCAGTTTGTCAGCAACTGTCACTTAGGTTTAAGTGTGGTTTACACCTAGCAATACGGCATTGCCGAATAATGTGTGTCACGTTACGGCGGTGGCGACAATGGCGAGCGAAAAAATGGTGGTTCGGCTGAACCCGTTCATGACCTGGTTGAAAATGACTTATGCCCTATTTCAGATAGTCTTCTTGATCTCCTATTTTTAGACTCTCGATTCCTTGCTGACACCAACGCTGCTGTGACTTGTGGTTTATAAATGCAAATAGGGCGGCACTTGAAGCGTGTAACCAGTGGTGGCGCTACAGGGAAAGACCTTTAGGGCTGAGATATCACTGCGGGGTTTATCGAAGTTGCAGGGTGCGGTTTATTCGAAACTCCAGGTTTTAGGGAAACTCACTCTCTCAAGGTTAGCTGTGTAATGCGAAGAACTACGCCGCATTTGCTTGCTGCGGTGAGATGAATGATAGCTTACTTACCTACACTGTGTAAATATTGTACTTTGCTTAACTTCAAAATGTGATTCCCTTGGTAATTCTAAAACAAGAAGTTGGAAAATGCTCCGTTTTAAGATACAGAGTATCGAAATTTCTTCTTTTTTTACTGCTTGGTGATCGACGTATTCTTGCGTTTTTACAGCTTCGACAGAAGGCGTTCCTTGGGAAAAAAAGGTTGTTCATAAACGAATAGCCTCTAAAGTCTGAGAAACGCCGACGCTTACAAATTGAGTATAGGGTTATCAATTAAAAGTTTTAAAAACTCGGTAGAAACAGAAGCTGAATTCTTCAACAACTTCGATTAAATATACTTTCTTTTCAGGGCAGTTAGCAGATTATCAAAAAAGTGCAGTTACACTAAAAAGTGGTACAAGCCAAACAGAATGCATATATAACTGCTCTCATATTGGGCCGATATTGGAATTCAACATCATCAGCATGGCCTAGGCCTGGTCTCAGGAAGAACAACGAACGAGACCTGAGAAACTATCCTTTATCCGAGAAATCAGGTCAATCGAAATAAGACAGCACAAAGTGCTGTTTTCACTCTCGCGGGTGCCGAAAAAAGCAACACAAATTCCATGTAAAATGATTCATTATATTTGCTTTCCCAATAATTGTATAACAACTCCAAGTCATATCAAGTACTCTTTCTTCCATATTTGTACTGCAATTTTAACTGCCCTATTGCAGTAACATCTGTGATCCGCGGAATCCACTCGATTTCAAATGAATTATTTGTATTATCACTCTCGTCTACGGTAGACTGTCCAACGTTCAAGAAAAATATAAACGAGCATTGGTAAATGTCATTATTATGTTCTGCTTCATTGTATTCCACGTAGCCTTTTTGTTCAGTATGGACGAATTTTTTTGAAATCCTCAGTTTAACCTACAATAGAGTACCGTGAGTGTACGTTTCTTGTGAGATTGTGCGGTTTGGTATACCAGCGGGGTGTCAAAGATCTGTTTCAAATGCAATATATTCATTATGCTGTAATGGTAAATTTCCTCTGTTTCAATGACTTGGTAGGTGTCTGGGATCCGTTTCTTGAAATCATTATAAAATACCTGAAACATATACATATATTGTAACGAAAACATCGTTTTTACTACTTAAAGTCTAATTTATTACTTTCATATAACATAACAATATTTGCAACTAATTTATGGCAAATTTATAACCATATCGACTGGACTATCGCGTTCTGTGGTGACTCATCGCCCGTTGTCGACTGCTCCACTCCTTTCCGCTGTCGGCATAGCTTTTATGTTCAAATTAGCCAATTCAGGGCATTCCAGAGCTTCACCGAAACTATTTCGATGTCGATATATGCTTCTCGGTGTCGGTAGGTGCTTCCCGATGTTTGTCCAGCGCTCCCGCTACCGTCGCAAACACTCGCTTATTCTGACTGCAAGCTGTTACCGCCCTTAATGCGCGGCGATGAAACTCTGGTTGCCTAAGCGTCAATATGGTGTGGGCGTCTCATCGTTGCTCAATGTCTCAGTTACGAGGGCGTCACATTATATGTACATATTTCCCTATAAGGTCGAATCGATGTAGAAATAAAATAAGCGACCGTAAAGGATATTCGTGAAACAGACAATACGTAGCCATCCATCAACATCCTCAATCAATTATAACCTAGGTCAGGTCATCAGTCAAATTTAACAGGATCTATGTGACAGAGCTACTGAAAAGGTAATTTCCTTGATGTGGGCCACTGTGCGAAGTTGCGATACAAAACGTACACGAACATTTTGGAGAGAGAACAGTTTGATACATCACGCACAGGTTTTTTATTTCATTTCAACATCGACATCGACTGGTCCTTATTATTGAAAAAGCCTTTATATGAAGGATTGTATGGCAACGTATTTTACCTGAGGTATTTGGAACACCAATGTGTTGACAATTCCACAGTTGTCAAACTGCATAGTTTTGTTGATTGATTCAGTTACGTACGAAAGCCAGTCTATGAAGGTCCAGCATGTATTATGATTACCTTTTGCTGGTTCGTTCAACACTTTTATTTCAATAGGATATATTTTTGGTATAATTTTCTGACACCGTTTTATCAACTCCACCTTCCTTGGTTGCTGAAGAATTTTAACAAATATTCATTAGTTTTGTTGATGGACATCCTACCTGTTTGATAAAATAATAGACAATGTGCGTTAGTTAGTTTCAGTTTTAGGTGCGGATCCAGAGGGAAATCTTGGGGGGAGAGGGCAACCGCTCACGCCCGATCGCGTAACTCTGGTTGCCTAGCGTCGAATACCGCGAGAGCGTTCCACGCTATTCATTATATCACCCTCCTGTTTAGCACCGGCAACGCTAAGCATTTTACATCCGTAAAACAATAAGCAATTATTCTTGTTCTCCGCGTTAAAAGCACAACGGTTTTAGCGTTCGTATAAAGGTGCACGCTCAGAGAGAGAAATAAAATCATTTCGCTGGGTTATACATAATGAAATAACAGTCCGCACACTTGCATCGTTTATGCAATTACATGAAAAAGGGTTAATAGAGTAGCAAACGTTCCAATACAAAACTTTGAAATGTTATGTTATAAACAGTATTCATCACAATCAACAACCAGAAGTTTGGCATAACATCTTACTTTGATTACTTTAGATTTTCTATACCTTTCATCGAGACTTTTGTTAGCTGTTACCTTCATTGCAGCAGCTTGTTGAATATATTTTGAAGTTTCAGATAGTGGACTTGGTTTATCATTCAGATGACCAAAAATTGGTTCTATAAAATTTCAAATATAAGTCAATTAATATAAAAATGTTACAAGGCCACAAATAAATCAGAATATTATTGGGTTATAACTATTAAAGGTTTGAAATTTTTATAGTCATACAGAAACGGAAGAAAGTAGCAAAACACATCATGCGCCACTGTTAATGCAAGATCTGCGCGCACCGACTGTATCTATACAAATATAGCAATGGGGGTACGATGTGCTATGATATTCTCTTCCTGAGTATATATAGGTAGTATTAATTTCAAATACAAACATACCTGACATTGGTAGTTCAAACTGCAAAAAGTAGGAAAACTCATCAAAATACCTTGTGTTGCTAGCCAAAGACCAAATACATGCATAGTAGTGGATACATTTTCTTATTTCTTTTCCAGGTATGCTTCTCGATTCTAAAATTACAATATATCTCTGTAATTTAAATGAATCCTGTACTACAACTTTATCTCATATAGTTACCTATGAATTCTGAGCAACTGCAAAAATACTTTTCATAACAATCTCTTCCTTTGCCTTTAATGAACCCAAAATGTAGATACCCCAACGGGTGCTTAGGTGTTGCCTGACACTTCACGGCCATAATAGACTTTGCCACCTGTTGCACTAAACAGCCCTGTTTTTCATTAGCTAAGATGTACAATGTCTCCTTAACATCATCTGTCACTTGGAGAGACCCTAATACGTCATTTTTGAATTTCATTGGAGTGGCACTGCTTTGACTTTTCAACGCTGATTTTATGTGATCACACACCTGATTAGTACTGTTTTGGTCTTCTTCGTGACATTTGAGGATTGAATTATCGAATGAGTTCTGACAGGAGTCGACAAAGCACAATGCTACTTCTGACAGGATGTTTTTGTCTTCTTGTGATTGGAGAATCGGTAACTGCACAAACCCTCTATAATCTGGGCCCATATCTCTTACCCTGACAGAAAATACTTGCTTTTCTTTGCCTGTAAGTAATTTGACAGCATCTATATCCACTCTAGATTTTTCCTCGGAGTCTTTGAGAATAACGCCACAGTTTTTATTCTTGCACACTGCACTTCTAGTGCCATTGTAAGTGCTACAATTGTTGCACTTTTTTATACCTCTCTTTGTAGATTTCCCCAAGCCCGATAGGACTAATTGGTTGTTTGTTGTGTGTATTGGTATATAAATTTTCTCCTTAATTTGACCAGCTGACATTTCACCTGCGATACAAAAACAAAATACGTTTTAGGTATTCTAAAAATAAACGGCACTGCTGCGTGCTCTATCATCACAGCTGGTTGTGGCTATTAATAGGTGATGTACTGGTAGCAGGCCACTAAAGGTTGAAATAACCGAGGTTTTAATTTTTTAACTCAAAATTTTCGAAACGGAACCCCTGTTTTAAATTTTATCTTCTCCCTTATGACATAGGAACGGTAAAGAGGTCGCGTTTTTAACGTCGATCAGTCAATAAACCGTACTTCTATAGTTCAAATTAGAATAACGATCATCGTGTCAACATGTTTACCGAGTGAGTTGTAAAGATCTACATTTACATTCGCAGCTTGGCGTCACTTCGTTTTTCAATCACCATATTTTTACGAAGGCTTGAGTACTCGGTTTGTACCGTTTGTACCCGGTACTCGGCCCAGGAAAACCGGTGAAATAAAAAAAAAAACGACCCCAAAACTTGACGCCTGATTATAGTAGTACGAGATTCTGGCAAAGGTAACCCTGCTGTAATATATTCTAGTATTATTGATGATTCATAAAAATAAAACCGATACCTGCAGGTTCAAGTGGCCGGTTCAAAAAAAATCCCCCAAATCCGTTAATAAATGGAACGAGATAGGTTTGGTTTATAGAGTGGGCAACATGGCAACCCTGGTATATATTAGGCTCCGAGAGTAAATTACTCGGTCTAAACCACGCAGGATACTCAACCAGTGTTGCCGAACCTAGAAAGTCGGAATCGGTAGATAGTTTGTAGGTTCAAGAACAAAACTGGTAGGAGTAGGAATTGGATTAAAGGCTTTTGCATCACGCAGCGCTGTCTATAAAAGACAAGATATTTTTCTGGAGAAATATTAACTTCCGCATTACAACTTGCATAATGAGCATCCTGGTCGCTCTTCAAGCTCCTTTGCAACCATCCTCGTAAGTCTTTTCCCATTCTTTTGTTTATAAGATTGTATTTTTGACCATTTTGATTTAATATTTAACCAAAATCAGACCAGCTTTGGTTTCCTTATGGCTTGTCCGGTGATGTGGTAGTGACGGTGATCTACCAGTCTGTACTAATTTTACATACAAAAACCAATACAAGGAAAGTAGGATAAGGCAAGTGAGTACATAATTATATGCAACTCAAATCTACATTCCTTGTAGGTTCAACTTCCTAAGTATCATTGGTATAGGCCATACAACTAAATAGGCTGCGACTTCATCGGAGTTCATTTTTTCAACTTTATTTTTTGTTCTAGCTTTTTCTCTGTACAAAAAATGAATTATTTAAAAATATCGTGGAAATAAGGACGTTCTCGATATGTCGGTAAATAAACTCGCATTTCGGTAGAAATACCGAAAATCGATCGGTTCGGCAACAACTCGGCTCAACTTTGTGTAAATCAAAAAAATTGGAGACGCGATATGCATATGTTCTTCAAGAAAATAACGCACCATCAAAAAATAGCCAACGTTATAGTATATTTTACGTCGGATTTTGATGGAGTTTTTACACAAGGTTACTACTATCTCAAGGTCGAAAAAGCTTTGTAGCTTTTAAAAGTTCCAGTGGCAGCGAAAAAAAAGGTCAGAAAGGAAAAAAATAAAAAAACGCTCAAACTTCGTTTTTGACATTTCAGGGAATCCTGAACATTTTTTAGAGAAAATTTATTGTTGTTGGGGTGTGGGGAAGCCCCGATAATTCTACTCACCAATTAGACATATTTCACACATCACAGATCGGCTTGTACATTTGCCGCTGAAACGTACGATAGAGAAATTATTAATGTTTTTGATGAGCGTCCCTGCGCGCGGTCTGTGTGCCTGTGTTCGTATGCGTCCTGCATGAATGTGTTCTGTTCAGTGTTGCCAGGTCAAGAATAAATAAAATTCGCCAAAAATTGGAATGAAAAATCACTAGATTTAAAAAAATCACCAAGAATTTTAGAAGTTAATTTTCTAAGCTAAAAACGGTATCTGTAATGTATGTATACAACTTAACGATTAAATTTTTTAAAACACAATTTCCTACTAAGGACTGTGCCGAAGGCAGTTAAACATTATTTTATCAGCACCTACCCAAGATACAATTTGATTACATTTTTCCTGTTGTTTTTGTACGATTTTTAACTACCTTTTAATTCCCAGGTCAGAATTATTATAAAAAGAATCCTACATTTTTTACCAAAACAAGTTTTTATTTAAAGTCTGTGGTGAATCCCACAACAGTTTAAGGAAATCACCGGATATATATCGGAGACCGTAACGGTACAATTGTTGGAGTTTTTGGTAGCTTAAAGATTGCTAAAAATATTCAAAATCGAAATTTTGAAAATCACCGGAAATTGTCATTTTTCAAAAAGTCTTGCACTTACCAGATTATTCATAAAATCATCAGACCTGGTGAAATTCCACCAAGCTTGGCAACACTGGTTCTGTCACAAGCTCTTGGACGCCCCGCCTCGTTTTCAGATGTTGGGAAGAGGCGACGCGACGTTGCCAGATGAACGGTATTACGGGTAGGGTAGGGAAAGGAAGACGGTGTAACCTAAAAATGCTGCTTTCGTCTGTCCAACCAGACACCTGTTTCGTGCTTTTTTGGCAAATCATCAGCTTGGTCTCTGGGAGAGCGGACGAAATCATAACAACTATCCACCATCCAGGATATAAAGTTTATAGCGCTGTTTTATTTGGATAGGATCTTGGCTGTCCTATTGTTTATGAACTGATTATTGTCTCCTGAAAAATCCAAATTATGGGACTTACCTGGTTTTTGCACTGATCGAATTAAGGGAGAGAACAAAAAGGCGATATTAATTGAGAGAATTTTTTCATTCAGCGAATTGGATGAAATAAACAATAAAAATACATTTCTTCAATCAACGGTATTTTATGCAAAACTTTAACAATCGTCCAACTGATATAACCTGCGTTGAAATTTAATAAAAACGAAAAATATATTAAACTTTTTCAAAAATGTTTACAAGTCGTGTGTGTACTTATATAAATACTAGATCTACAACTCTAGCATATTAGCTACGATTCAAGAAGACATTTTCAAAACGACATTCTCCTGTTCTATCACATTATATGTATATTCAAAAATTATTTTGTCAAACACATAGTAAAAATATCGATTGTATAATAAAACTAGCTAAGCTCTAAAAATACATCAGCAACTTGCTGCCTAAAGACTTGTTTCGAAAAAATGTTAATAACAGCAGAGAATACTATCAAAAGGAATTACAACTTATCGTTTGTTTTTAAATAATTTATCCAAGAATCATTGAAATGTCATTGAAAACGCCACCTTAAAGCCTTATCACAAACGAGTTGGCCCAGTAAAAGAATACTTTTGACCTGACAAAAATTCTATAATGTATGATAATATGGATTTAGGTTATTAAAATATTGTTTGTCAGCATGACGACAAGTACCGGATCCTACCATAGACAGGAAATGAAAAATGTTTGAAAAACTTTTTCACTTTTGGGTTTTTGTGTTACGGTTCTGTATACAATATAGTGCGTCACTGTCATTATTGTGACGTAACTGCTTTGATTCAGTGAATAAACTATATGTACATGAAAAGTTAAGATAATTTTGTGGCTCAATAAATAAGTTTCAAAGGTTGTTTACGATATCTTCATATTACATGCTTTCACGAGATTATGACAATTCTTTTAGAGCTCGTATTGCGTGAATGTCCGTATGCGAGATTTTTGAGGCATCTGATTGACAAAATAGTTTTTTGAGACATTTACCAAGCATAATTAATGAAAATTACAAAGGATGTAAAGAAAAGGCTAAATTTTAACGAGAATATGTTAAAATTGCTTCAAAAAATGTATCTGGTGGAAATATTTATCATCATAGCAAAAAACTCTTGTAGACTTTTATTTTCCATTTGCTGTACTGAAGAGCAAATCTACTTTCTAGAAAAGATAATATAGCACAACAAATTTCGACTTTTTTAGTCATTATTTTTAAGACAATTTTTTGACATTATTCATCAATATCTTGAAGAGAATAAAACCTCACTAATCACAGCATGAGGAGTTGAAAGCATACTTCATTGAAAGTACTAAACAATTTTCCTTTATACCTAGCGTTATTTAAATAATATTTATATTCCTTGGAAAAGTCAAAAAAAAAATTCGAATTTTTTGTTAAAACTTTTTTAATGGTAAAGTTTCAGGTGATAATCTAAGAATATACTTAATAATAGTTTGTGAAAATATTGTGCACACTGTCTTTCGAGCAAATCGCAAGCAAAAATAGCGTCAAATTATGTCGGTTTTTTTGACGTAATAACCCTGCAGAACTTTTTTCTATATAATTTACAGGACCAAACATAAAAATATTTTTCAAATAATTTTATGTACCTGCTACCACAAGATCTGGAACTTTTTGTTATGCTAAAAAGGACTACTTGAGTTAACAAAATCCAAATTGTCATCCATGATAGAATTATTGCAAGGTTTTGGGAAGTTTTTTTTACCGGGCTAGATGTACAAAGTAGGGAGATAAAATTATGACAACGTACATTGAACAGTGTGTCAATAGTCAGTGGATAAAAATGTATGACATAGAGCTGGAAAAGCTTATAGCACGCACATACTGTCGTCATTTTCTGCGGACAAATATTGTTTCAAATGAAGGTGAATACTAAATAAAAAACTTGTCTAATCTGATGGTAATCTAACAGAAAAAAAGAATAAATAAATCTTAATACATTAATGGCGTGCTAATATTTGAAAGCTGATTCTTGGATCCACTTCAAGAAATGAATCGTATGTCCTAACCTCACAGAATAGTACACTTTGCAGAAAAAAATCTTTATTTTATAATAATTGTAATACTATTTCAGAGATCTCTATAACATTTGATACACATCTTCTTTGCATCAAGGTACATTTTCTGATGGACCAACAATTTCATTGTTTCTATCAGTGCAGTGTCGTCCGTACGGGTTTTGCAATAGATTTTTTTTTGAGAAAAAAATAGTACGCCACTCTTCAAATCAAAATCATTTTTGAAACCTTCATTCATGTCTGAGCACATTTAATCTCATTGTCTTTCGTGTTTTTCACTTAAAAAAATCAAAATCGTTTTACTTCAGGGTCAAATTGCTAAAAGAAAGTTAAGTGATCAAATTTGTTCAAAAATGAATAAGCATGGCAAAAATATTTTTTTCTCATCGGATGTACTGTCCTTGATGTTAAACGCACTCAATAAATAGCTTCAGATTTTTAGCAATTTGACACTGAAGTAAACTGATTTTTATTGTTTAAATCGAAAATCATGCGTGCACAAAAGAAAATCAAGAGATCAAATTTGCTCAGTAATAAGGATTCCAAAAATAATTTTTACTTGAAGAGGAAGCGTTGACCATTTTTCTCTCCAAAAATATTCAATGCAAAACCCGCTCGAGCGCCATTATTAGAAATAGAATTATTTGTACATAGAAAATGCCCTTTGATTCATACAATAGTATCTCAGTTATAAAATACAGATTTTTTTTTAAACTTTACCCCCATGTCATTAAGAAACACCCTGCATAGGACAAAAAGCAGCAAGAGGCCTGACAGATTCCTTAATAAACCCTTTTCGACATGTCCACCAAACCGTTAATACGCGAGTCATTGAATCAATCGTTTCCATATCATTTTTTAAATTTTGTATAACTCTCAGTCAAGATTCTGAAACTCGTCATACATTCTTCTATAATGTTGTTCTAGCTTTCCTCGTCCTTAATAATACTTCAACTTTTCCAGCCCATCAGTTATCTAATAAAATAAATAGGCGTAAAGTAAACCTAGACAAGTGATCGACTGTTGGTACCACTGGGATTCATTTTCTCCATAATAGACTGCACGTACGCTTCGTGGATCTGCTTCGTGAAGTCCGAGTTATTTTGAGGAGATATATCAACGCTTGTGCTAATTGCTTCTCAGTCAACAGATCTAACTGGTCTATTCGCTCATCAGAATTGTTACCATCTTTGGATTTTGACGTTGAAAACATCATCGGCGTCATCAGGGTCGGTTTTGAGGAACCACCTAGAAGATTTCGACATGTCACTATACGTCAACGGTATGCAACTGATATTTTTTCCGTAACTAGTGAATTTAAACAGACATTAAAATACCCATTACAGTCCGATCTATTTGTTTTAAAAAATTGTCAATTTTGGCTACATCTGACCGCAATTTTGACAATTATGAGGCACTATACAATTAGTAGTAGTAGTAGTAGAAAGATTTATTTAGCACATTTGGCTACATAAACAGAACAATTGTAAACAACTTAGAACTAGTAAATTCAAGCCATATGGTGTATGATGTAAATGCTGGGCAACCTATAATTGTAGATTTAACAAGTGATTTCTCAATTTTACTTTAAATTTTGTCAAAGTTTTCTGGTCTTTTATCTCCGAGTATAATTTATTATATTCAATCAACCCTTGATGGAATACAGATTTGTAGCATATATGTTATACTTTTTGGTCATTAAATGGAAGTCATCTTTATTTCTGGTATTATGTAAATGATGGTCGACATTTGATGATGTTAAATTAGTTAGACTTGATGGAAATATATTATTTTTTACTTTATAAATGAATATCATTACAAGATATTTGATAACATTTTTTACATTGAGCCATTTTAATTTGCTAAGCATTTGCCTAATTGGAGTATATTTATCTTTATTTAGTATTATTCTCATGCACTTATTTTGTAAAATTTGCAGTCTTTCAAAAATGGAATTATTTGCTAAATATAGAATAGTCGAACAGTACAAGAAATTTGGAAGAATGATGGTATTATAGATAATGATTCTGCAATATGAACTCAGACATCCAGAAACTCTCGATAAATATCCCACTTTACTACTAATCTTATTTATAACTTTTTCATAATGAATATCAAAAATTAATCGAGAGTCAACAAAAACTCCCAGGTATTTAAAATTTTCTACGAATTCAATATCTTCACCATCAATATTCAGTTGAACATTTGTACATTGTTTTTTTCCGATTAACAAGGCTTTCGTTTTACTTGCATTTAATTTTAGTCTGTTAGATGCTAACCATTTTGAGACAAGCTTCAAGTCTTCATTTATATAATATAATATAATTATACCTTGAAAACAAATAAAACAGTAATTTGAGCGTAATTGACAATTTTTTGCAAACATAGCCGTGATACTAGATTTTAAAAAACACTTGAATCTCAAGTTTGAGCAATTTGGTTTCGACTTTTGAACAATCGATATCAAATTCGTTATTAGTGACACTGAAAACATTTAAAACTTAAATTTTGATCTTCAACAAATGGATATCATATTCATTATCTGCGGCATGGAAAACGTAAAAATGTTTTTTTTTTTGTAAATTCAGTGAATCATTCTAAAATGTCACAACCTCCATAAATTTCAAGTTTCAGATCTGTGAAAGATACCAGTTATACTATTATATGCAAATACGAGCCCCTTCCCACTTCAGTTGTCCCAACTATTGAAATCTTAGTTTTTTCCTTATCAAACACAAATAATAAAAATGTAGCAGGGGGTTTAAAATATTAACAATGAATATTTTGATAATATATAGTAGAAAACACCAACTTTATCATTCCCTAATCAAATTTGCAGCATAAAAATAACACATGTTGCAATTACAGCCATGACAATTGTTTTTATTAATCACAGCTGTCAGAATACGTTTAAAATAGTTTTGGGTAGTTAAGGTTTTTTTAAATGGGTAGAGGAAAGGTTATTAGTGAGAAAAATTCGGTTACTGATAATTAATTTTTTTAATTCTGGGAAATCAAACTCAGAAATTGCAACTTTGTTAGACTTATCGCGGTACAGTGTGAGAAATATTGTTAGAAGATATAACTTGACCGGTTCAGTTAATATTAAGCCACGATATGTGAAAAAAAGTAATATCACAAATGCCGACCGAAGAGTATTAATAAGAATAATCGTGAAAAACAGGCGTGCCAATTATTTACAATCAAGTGCTCTGTAGAGTGACGCTGTTGGAAGGAGAATTTCGAGGTCCACAACTCATAGAGAGGCCCACAAACTGGGATTTAGCACTTGCAAGGTAAGTTTTCTTATAAAAAAAAGTGAAGTAAAAACCCTAAAGTTGCATAACTTGTTTATAGGCCAAAATAAAAGCCACTATTAACTCCACTGCAAAAGAAAAATCGGATTAGATGGGCTAAAGAACATAGACAATGGACACCTCAACAATGGTGTGCAATACAATGCAGTGATGAGGCCCGATTCAAAGTTTGTGTTGTGAAAGGTGGCAGTAGAGTTATTCGCAAAAAAAAATGATGCATTCCATGTTGACTGTCTGAAGAGAAAAGTGAAATGTCCAGCATCCATTATTATTTATAAAAAGGAGTAGGAAAACTTCATTTTATTGATGGAAATGTGGATACAAACAAATATTTGTCAATTTTAGAAGAATCGCTTGTACCAGTGATGGAAGAATGTTTGACATCCAGCCAAGATTTTGTGTTTCAGCAAGATGGTGCAGCGTGCCATACCTCAAAAAAGGCTATAAAATGGATGGAAGAAAATAATGTACCACATTTGAAATGGGTTTCTAGCAGTCCAGATCTGTCACCTATTGAAACTTTGTGGCACGAGATGAAAAAGGTTCTACGACAACATCTTGGTCGTACAATCACCAAACTGAGACAAAAGCTTCAAGTAATATGGGATTGTTTTGCACCAAATTTTTGCCAAAACTTTGTTAACACTATGCTCCAAAGAATTTCAGCATAAAAAAAATAAAGGTGATGTTACCCAATGGTAATCTTTCAATTGTTGCTTTGTTAACTTCGCGCATTTATTCGCACATTGTTTATTTGTTCAGATGTTCCATTAGTTATAGATCTAAGTGATTTCAAATATGTATTTTTTACGACTAGAGTGTATCTAAAATGTTTTTGAGAAAATAAATTGTTTTAGAAGTAAATAGTTTCGTCGTGTTTAGTTTATAAAGGCATATTTTGGTACACATCTTGAAGTGGGTAACAATTGAAGTTGGAAGGGGCTCGTAGTATTTAAGTATTTTCGCATATAGGAAACTTCCTAATTGTATATGTGTCATCTTTCACCACCACCTTTTAGAGTATTCTATAGATTATTACCTTCTAAAAACTGTGCAAAAGGTGAAGTTCTCAACAAATCAGCATCGTCCTTTTCAGTTGTGTTATTCTGAGCCCCCTGATTTTGATTTTGTATGAGGAACTGCAAGGGCGAGGCGCTAACTGGAAATCCGTTCTCAGAGTGCAATTTTTTTTCAGGAAATGACACTGGAACACTTCTACGGTCTGCATTTGCCGTATTCAGCCTCTGTCTGATGTTGATCTGAAGCAAAGAATGGTGTCAATGAGATTGTGGGAATACTCGTCACGGCCTCGTTGTGGTTTTTTCCATGAGTTATTGAGTCCTAGTAGTAATTTGACTTTGAGGGAAAACTCAAGGTCAAATATTAGGGTGATTCAAGGTCATATGTGAACGTAAAATTTCACGTTCGTTTCATTGCCGGGATCAAAAGTAGACGTTTACATTTGAGTTTTCGTAGTTAACCTAAGGATAACCTTCAAGGTCAATGTAAAATCCAAAGTCTCTGGGATAGCTGAAGAAAAATCTTACAACTTTTATTCGAAGCATTTTTCCCTAAAATTCATTCCTAAAGAGTTATTGAGCTGTTCCGGTACTTCTGTATATAGATTTTGCATTTAAAAATATTCTTGATCATATCATTCTAAGTGTGTTAACAAGAATGCTCTTTTATATCCGACAACTTTTTAATTTCTTGCGGATGGACTGAATACATAAGATTTATATTTCTTATGTTATAATCACTTCATGGATTACCAATAAAGTAGTCAATGTTTTTAAATGCAAAAATTAGTGACTCTTGAATATACAGGGTGTTTGGTGCATCGTTTGCCAAATTGAAATGGCGGACAGGGGAGGTCTTTTTCTATCACCCCAGGTCCCTCAAACAGTTTTTAGCCTAGCAGCATTAATTATGTAGATTTTTAAATTTTTTTTTGTGCAGGGGAAGGAAAATAGAAAACGTGTAAAATTGTGAAAACGTGAACGCTTTTAGTTTTTTTTTACAGAAATTCAAAATTGAGACTTACATTTTTTGTTCTTCTTTGTAACCCTTTATGAGTTTATAAATAAAAAACTACATGCTGCTGGCAAGTAATGTTGATTTTGTAAGATTGGTACAACATGACCCATTAAGATAAATTAATCATTAGGTGGACATACTCTTTATTTTTTTTTTATTTCACTTTGTGTATTACATTTTGGAGTTTTTACTAAGAAAAAATAAAAAATCTACATAATTAATTCCGTTGGGCTAAAAACTGTTTGAGGGACCTGGGGTGGTAGAAAAAGACCTCCTCTGGCAAACGATGCACCCTGTATATTGTATCTATAGTAAACATTTTATTACTCTTGAATTTCCCCCTCCAAGAATCTCTAGAAGAAATTTTTAAGATGCACCTCAGCACTTGCTTCTGCACTAGAAAGATCCTATTGGTGTGGCCTCCATGTATAATTTTAACAAATGGAGCCCTTACCTGTTCTTGAGGCGTTATAGACCTCTGCTGTTTCTCGATATGTTCTACACTATGAGCAGGATTTGACATTAACCTCTGCAACACATTCTCTCCATTACCAGCTACTCCAACAGTTGGATTTTGGCTGGTTTTGGTACTAGCTTTGGCAAAAAAATCCATCACACTCTGTGAGGTGACATCAGGAACCCTAGGTGTTGATACATATGCAGCTGCAGGAATGTTGTCTTGCTTTGTAGGCGTCCTGGAAAATAAATATAATTCCATAAAAAAATTTGTTCATTATATCTAAGAATTCCAAAAAAAAATTGAGCCTATTTGGCTTCTCTGACATTATGCATGTTTTCTTTCTGATAGATTTCAACAGGTGCAGATAGGCAGTGCCAGATCTCACTATATCCATGCTTCCTCTGGTGTACCTCAGGGTGGTCATCGTTCTCCATTACTCTTTAATATTATTATAAATGACTTTTCAGTTTATTTTGAAGTACAGTAAATTGTTCCTGGATGATTTAAAATTTCATCAGGGTTGATTCTGAGCATGATTTGATTTTATTGCAAAACGACTTGAATAGGCAGAGTGGTGTGTTAATAATCATTTATCATTAAATACTGGTAAATGTAACCACATTAGTTTTTACAAAGGACACACTTCTTACACTATAGAAAACGACAATCTTGAATATTGCGACGTCATAAAAGATCTTGATATACTTTTTAATGAACAAAAAAGTTTAAAAACACATATAAACACTATAGTTACTGGTTTTGTTTTACATAATTGTAGGGAGCCATCTATTGAAACTTGTAAATACATGACACTTGTGGTGTCTTTGTTGGAATATGGATCAATGATCGAACAATTATTATGGAATTAGCCTGATTTTTTTTATTTTTGTTGTTAGCTAAAATGTTTCTTATTTACATTTGTTATTAGTTAGGTAAATAAATAGACAGTAACCAAAGAAACAGTACAAAATTGCTAACAAAGCAGGATTTAGGCGTGAAAATATGCAAAGTGAAGACCAGTTAAATGAAGCTGATTCACCTGACCCAGAAGATGACTTACCACTTACTGTACTTTCGGATATACTCAAAAATAAGAATTTATTGAAATTGACTGATAATGAAAACGTTTGATTTTCTGGACCTAGATGAAAGTTTGTATGTTGAACATCCAGATTCAGGCCAATAAATTGAAAATCCAGTTGAAATCAAAAACTTTCTGAAGATTCTGATGTCAATGAGGTTCCAGTACCAACAGACGCTATTCCAAATTATGATAAAGCTAATACCCTGACCAAGCAGCTCAAAAGTTTTGTTGAAAATCAGGGAGATACAGAGTTGTAGAGTTTTTCTCTAAATTAGGAATACGATTTTCAGATGGAATTTTAAAGAAAAAGAGGGGACAAGTGACAATATATGAATTTTTGCATCCTTAAAGTGAGTATTTCACTGTTTTGTAATACTACATATATGTATGTACCAACGGTATGTACAGTAATGGACAAAAGTATATAGACAAATATGAATATTTACCAAAATACCTTTAGAAAACGAATTCATACTTCATTGCTCCATAAACAAATGCGTTATTAGTAGAAAAACTAAATTCCTTGTTTTTACATTTCCTGAAATGAACACGATACAAGTCTGAATATAAGCACTTTTTTATGAGGGAGAAAAATATGTAGACAAATTCTTTTCAACAATTAGTTTAGAACAGTTTCGTGTCAGAAGAGGATAAGTTTGTGTTCATCAAGTATTGTGGAATAAGTTGAGTGATTTTAAGACCATGCTGCGTGGTACAGAAATTTCTTTCAATGTGAAAACTCAGATCATTGAATTATACAAAGATGGTCAACGTCAAGTTGACATTGCCAAAAATTTGAAGCTGAAGAGTAAATCAGTTTGGGCAATACTGAACAAATATAAACAAAAAGGTATCTTGGAAGCCTCTAAGAGAAGAGGTCAGCCTAGAAAACTAAATGCTAGATCAGTTAAATTAATAAAAGTAATTTTGTCCAAAGATCCGTTTAAAACCCCAAGACAAATAAAAGCCAAAAACGAAACCAAAGGAATTGTAAGTGTTTCTACAAATATAAGTAGAAGATTGGTGAATTGAAGTTTTTTGCACGTCGCCTGAGTAAGAAGCTGCTAATCTCGAGGAAAAGCCGTAAGGACCAATTACAATTTGCATGGTTGCATCATGATTGGAGCATCTGTGACTGTAAGAGGGTATGTTTCAGTGACGAATCCAAGTTCAATATGTTTCGATCAGTTAGTGTTCATTACATTAGACGCCCTAGTCAACAAAGATTGAACCTCAAGTACACTTTGCCTACTGTCAAACATGGAGGCGGGTCTGTTATGGTTTGGGATGGGACCTTTAGATAGAATAGATGGCATTATGGATAAGTTTGTATACACAGACATACTAAAGCATATCATGTTACCCTATATGGAAGACAATATGCCCTTAAGATCAATCTTCCAGCAAGATAATGACCCGAAGCACACTTCAAATCTCCTAAAGAAATTCTTTCTGGATGAAAAAATACCAGTTCTCAAATGGCCTTCAGTGTCCCGATATAAACCTCATTAAAAATCTATGGTAATATTTAGATAAGCAAATATGAGATAAAAATTATTCAAACACAGATGAACTTTTGCCACTTTAGAGCAAAAGTGGAGACAGATTGATGAATCTTATATCAAGAAACTTCTATAATCTATGCCGAGACAATGGCAGGTGGTTATTGATAATAATATATTATATATTATATATATAATAATATATTTTTGTCCTTCATAGTTCCAGTTTTTTTCAATTAATTTTTTATTGAAGAGAGTCTAAAATTACTGTATATATATACATTTTATATTATACATATTATATGTATGTTCTTTGTATATATCTAAAGGTAACAAACCTTTTTTTCTTGTTTAAAGTTTTTTGTTTATTTTGAAAACATTTATACACATATGTTTTAAATGTCCCAGTTTTATACAGTTTTCTTTAAAAACACGATTTTTGTTGTATTTCTTTTATATGGATAACCCTCGTGAATACTCAGTCAATCCTGTTGATATCTGACCAAAGCAGATTTCACTGTATTCTGTCGATTTTTGTCACTTTTTTATAACCAATTTTCAGAATCCAGAAGAATTACTTTGTTCTATTTCCAACCCCAGACCAATTACAAATGCTAAAATTATTACAGAATAGTACAATCTGTCCAGTGCACTGGTCATTCGTGTGTGTCAGCAGACTTCTATGTAACTTTATACTACTACTATATAAAACACCTCAATAAACATCACATTCCATTATAAATACCAATGGATCACAGTAAATAGTTTTTCTGTGATATTCACCTTAAAGCTATAAAACCTCAAGATAACCATCCTTTTACAAAGTGTGAAGATCTGTGATTGTATAGTCTTTACATTCTGAAACATGCCATCTAATACAAACCTATTGAAATCTTCTTGCGCCTTCGAGAGCATGGTGAAGATGTCCACGTTGGACTCTTTTCTGTTCGACCTCTCGTCGTTCTTGTCTTTCAGCCCCTCCATCAGAGATTCTATGAGAAACGTTATCCTTATACACTCTTCCCTGTTGAAAAACCAAATTCCGAATATCTTGCTCTTTGAGTTTCTGTACAACAGGAAGGGTACTTGCATCTGATAATCGAAGTCCTTTACGATGGGCTCGATGGCATTATCCGTGTTGAGTCTGTTCATAACCATCATACTATGGTATGGTTCCCCATTGCGGCTGTAGATGAACAGGGCGCCTTCTGTGTTTGTTTTTTCCCACTCGTTGGTTTGGGTGTTAAATATATAAAGGGCAACGTGTGTAGCTGTAGCTAAAATGTCTTTTACGTACGGATCCACTCTTTTGATGGACGTAACGCTCATACGCAACTCAACAGAATCCGCCATGATTTTTGAAACTAAAAGCGACTTCGAGTTGTAACCGGTATGCAAACTGTCATTACAACGGTCTGATAATGACAGAACATGACTGAAAATGATGACGTACTTGAAGACGTCAGTCTCGATAAACAGTGGTTTATGTGTTTATGAGCAGTAACCTGCAAGATATGCTAATTCACTGTTTGATTTAACGCATAGTGCAACTAGAATATGCCCGAGTAAAGATAACATGGCCACGCAAGAGAACTATTGACATTTACTCTACTAGACTATCTATAGACTGTCCGTAGCGAAATTTTTCGCGAAATCGTTGCACATCGCTTGAAAAATGCAAATGAAGATTTTAAAACTGCCGCTCTGACGTACTAAATGACTCCGTCGTTACCCCAGGATAGACATACGATCTTGTCACCTGGATTGCGGCGTTGCCAGCTCATCGGACAATTTTGCTAGAATGTTATAAAAAAACCTTTGGATACAATATTGAGGGATACCAATAAAGACATATAAAATTTGAGGCGTAGCAATGCTTTCCAAAAAAAAACTAAAAAAAGCGGTTATTTACGTTTTGCGTCTATGCGGCGGAACGTTAATGTCTCTGAATACTTTTATAAATGCCGAGTTTTTTAGGATAAAATACTTCCAATTGAAAAAAGAACAAACAATGTTTCATTATATAAATATATTTATTAACTATTTGATCAAAAATTCATGATCATTAATAGGAGGAGAATGATTTTCATTTTACTCTACTATTTATTAGTATCCGTCTTATACGCAGAGATATTATGCATTCATTTTAAGGAAGCTAAAAATGGACAGCTGAAGGATTTGAACTTAAATTCAACTTATGACTTGTGGATCAGGCAGACGGAATCAGCATTTTGCACGCATCATATACCCCTACTCTTGTTGGACATTTGGTGCCCACGTGTCCTCCAACAACCAATGTAAGACATTGTAGTTTCCTAAACACGGGGATGAGATTCCAGGTCTGAAAACGCCAAAGAATCAAGGCTTGATTTTGTTGCACCATATTTAGTAAACATATTGCCAAGGGCTTAGTGTCAAAGTACGATGTGAAATACTTCAATACTGTCAATTATCACCCATTCCTAAAATAGCCTTTTGTTCGAGGCTTTGCTAAAAGGTTTTTCAAAAATGAATGTAAGTACATAAGAATACTTACAAGAACGTTAGAATAGTGCCCGTTTCTGTAAATTTAAAAATTAACTTACATCAAGCATTAGCAACTCCTACTTCAATAAAATGAAAATATAGAAAAAAAACACGTTTGCTTATAACTAAAAAAAATAAATGTAACGTGATACATCGTTGAAGTCGTAGAAAAAGATGCTATTAGATACAGTGTCGTCCATTTTTTAAATGTTGTGCACGTCGGGCACAACATTTAAAAACACCATCATGTAGTGCCATTAGTTTTTTGACATTTCTTAAAATAAAGTCAGACAAAAATAAAAACGATTTGGCCAAATTTTAGTTTTTCCCAAATTCCTCAGTATATGACTAATCTCTAAGTGTATGCATTGTGCGCAATTTATTTAAAAAACCTAGAATGTCAACCCTAACACACACGTAGATGGGTATGCAAGGCTCACCTGGTTTGCTGCACATGTATCCTGTTTCCCTCAGAAGAGTTGGAAGTAGACCTAATTTCCACTTTGGAGACACTTGAAATCCACGTCACAATACTAAAACACCAAAGCACTACTGAAGGACAATCGAGAACCCTATAGTGAACACCACTACTAAAAAAAAGTAGCTAAACCGAATAGAGCTCTGCACGGAGCTATGAATGCGTGGACATTCCGCTGCGCCGACGGTTGCCGAGAGACTGAAGTGTGCGAGTGCTGTAGCTCCCACTCCGCGCGTCTGCTCCCGAAGCGACTCGATGTTTACGTTGACCGGCGTACTGCTATCTGCTTATACGCTGCGAGTTAACGCGATTCAATTTTTTTGAAATAATTTATTTAAACACAATAATACAAAAAGTATAACCAGTTTTAACAATAATTCCCCAATCAGTGTTTGCAAACACTGGCCCCGAGAATAACAAGACAATAATCAATATCTATGAACTACAGGTACACTGCAATGTTGCTCATAATTTCAACAAATAAATTCATTAACATTTTCAATTCTCTAACAAAACTTCTTCTCTATTTGAATCTTTTATACAATGAGGTAAATTATTAAATTTCTTAATTGCGTCTGTGATCGGATTTTTAAAACCTATATTAGTTCTTGTGGAAATTTGATAAACATTATTTAGTGATCTTGTTTGGTGATCATGCACGTTATGGTAGAACCTAATATTTATGTTACTTTTTAGTAGATTATTTATAATTTTATAAATTCAGTTGTCGGTTGGCGTTCGTAGAGGATGGTGCGTCGGGACCTCCTCGCAACGCTCTGCTTCTTTTTAAATGGAAATTTGTTTTTCCAAAATACCTTCACGACAAATATCAACACAGAACAAATTACCACAAAACATATATACTACAGTGACGTTGAAAAATAAACCACAGAAGATCGATCACAGGATGAAACGGATGCGAATTTTACTACCTGAGCGGTGTATAGTCACGTCGTAGTTGACTATTTTGAAGTATATCAACATGTGAATCATACACTCAAAAGTTTTATGACAATAAAAATAAAATATTAAAACCTCCAACGTCACTTGTTCTGTGTTGATATTTGACGTCTAGGTATTGCTGGAAAAAAGTATTTTGGAAAAAAAAATTGCCATGTAAAGTGTCTCGTCCAAGATTTTTTTTTCTGTAGAATTACATATTATACTGTCGTGTATACGTTAAACCTGCAATAATCTCTAAATACGTTGTTGTGTTAAGTGCACCATCACCCTAAATAATATAGCATATGTTTTCATAAAGTTTTTTTATCATCGAAAACGTCACTTTTCTACATGTCGAAAGGTTAGATTATCGAACGCAGCCCATCCACTTCACACTTCTTTTTTATTGATTTTGACATATCCCGTGACATAACCTAGAAAATGTGACGTTTTGGAATCTCAATATTTTATTTGGCTTTGTGTGCAAGAAAACTGTATTTTAGCGTTTGAAAAATATGTCTCAAAACGATGCTACTGGCATCGCAAGAAATGAAGAAGTTGTGGATGAAATAACTAGTGATTTAAACGCACAATGCAGTATATCACAAGAAAACGATAAGTCTGGAGCCACAGCTGAAGATATTGCTAAAGCCGAAAGGGACAGTCAAATACCAGAAGATTTCGAAGATTGTATTACAGAAACAAACAAGGAAGACGAAGACGATTATGTAAATGAACAGGCTCTGGAAGACCTCCAAGCAACCCTTAGTGATGATGATAAAAAATTGAAACATCAAGAGGCTTTACAGTTGAAAGCACAAGGAAATGAAGAGTTCAGGGATGAAAAATATGTGGAGTCTATTAGCACATATACTAAGGCACTTAGGATATGTCCTTTAAAATATTCTAATGATAGGTAATTTATCAAACCAAATCTTTAACACCCTTTCCACAATCTCGGATGCTTGCCACATATGATACCTACTGCTAGACATCAGATAAATGATAATTACATGGGCGGATCAAGCATAATTATTTTTTTTCGGGTGGGGGCAGCTGACAAGGAAAATAAAATGCTTGGATTTGTGTAACATATACATTAAGTTGGAGGGGGTCACTTAGCTATAGTGGTGGATTTAGGGAGCAAGACATATTCAGGGAGGTGTCTGGAGTGATTGAAAGAAGTGGATCTAACAAGGGGATTCTAAGATCACCTCAGAATCCATCAAGCAGTTTGGCCAATGAATAAAAATTTTAACAGTTGTCACTCACTTTGTCAAGACACATTGTATGTCAAAATTCCTTAAGTCTTTTAACCTGGAGCGTATGAAACAAATTTCAAATTTGAAACTGTCAAATTTTAGTACACTCAATGTCACTCCCACTGTCAAGACAAATCTAGATGTACAGTAATGGACAAATGTATATAGACAAATTAATCTTTGTATAACTCAATGATCTTAGTTTTCACATCAAAAGGAATTTCTGGACCACGCAGCATGGTCTTATAATCACTCAACTTATTCCACAATACTTGATGAACACAAACTAATCCTCCTCTGACATGAAACTGTACTAAACTAATGCTGAAAAGAATTTGTCTACATATTTTTGTCCCTCATAAAAAAGTGCTAATATTCAGACTTGTATTGTGTTCATTGCAGATAATGTAAAAACAAGGAATTAAGTTTTTCTACTAATAACGCATTTGTTTATGGAGCAAAGAAGTATGAATTAGTTTTTCTAAAGGTATTTAGGTAAATATTCATATTTGTCTATATACTTTTGTCCATTACTGTACATCTACTTTCAAGATCCATCACATCATTTAAGCTGTTTCCCAAGAAATTAAACTTTACGGTTGAAAATATTGATTGAAATATGCCATTTCGCTTTTATAAATTTTTAGTAACCTCAGTTTCACCAGTAAGATAAAACCAACAACCAAGCTTGTATCTATTGAATTTTATCCTCACTATAGTATGTTTTGCAGGTCAATATTATATGCGAATAGAGCGGCATCAAAAAATATGATAAATAGAAAGAAGAGTGCCATAGACGATTGTAGCAAAGCAATAGAACTGAATAAGCATTATGTTAAAGTTTATCTAAGAAGGGCAAAACTTTATGAAGATACTGAAAAATTAGATGAAAGCCTTGAAGATTATAAGAAAATTTTAGAAATGGATCCTGCAAATAAAGAAGCTAGGGAAGCACAGATTAGGCTACCACCTAAGATTGCTGAAAGAAATGAAAAAATGAAGAATGAAATGCTTGGTAATCATAATCATAGACTTTATTCTGATTCTCTAATTAATCACCCTATATTATTTTACTCATATAATTAAGTACTTACTTCTTTTACAGGCAAATTGAAAGATTTAGGAAATATGTTCTTAAAACCATTTGGGCTATCCACACAGAACTTTGAGATGAATCAAGACCCGAACAGTGGAGGATATTCAATAAACTTTAAGCAAAATCCAAATGAACCATCTCTATGAACTATTTATTTATAATAAAAATATTATGTAAGGTATATGTTTAAAATTATATGACTTATGATGAAAACTGAATAAGATTTTTATTAAGCTATGACTTTCTTCAACCACCATTACTATTATTATGAGAGGCAATATTTTGTCTATTTTCATAACTAACACTTTTCCTATATCATGGCTATACTGCTGTGTGGATGTTATTTTTGGGGCTGGGTAGCCAGGTCTGTTACAATCACATCAAATCCCAACATGTAAATGTTCTTTATGTATACAGGGTGTGATTTTCATAGTTTTCTACAGTTCCGTGTCAGAGCTTCTTTTTGAGGTTATGTTACAAATATATATTTGTATCAAATTGTTCATGCTTTTGATTTATATCAGCCTGAAATTTCCTCCAATGAAAAAAACACTGCGTCACGATAGGAGAACGCTGACGCGAAACAGTATAAATCTAAGGTACCCAGCCTTTCGGAAAAGGAGTCCTACAATTGGAGCGACTGACGATACGGCCCGTAGATTACTGAGATGTTAGGTTCCGCAAAATAAACATAATTCGATCCTACACATCACTCAGGTCAAACGTGAATACGTACAATGAGCATCTGTACTCGATCCAGGCGTTGGTAAACAAAACCTTTACACATCGGTTCTAAAACAAACAAACCAAAAATGGCATACTGATACACCAATATCGGAGTTGTTAATATCATTTTAATTTAAGGTGAGTGTTTTCGAAATGCTACCGAGGCTTCGCGACTTCAGATCAATGAACTGTCAACACTGATAGAACAGGCGTAACGCGAATTCATTGCGGCTAGAATGAGAAACGAGAAGGATAGCGCTAGTCAAGGCAAAACATCGTGGTCTATTGTGGTATTTCCATGTTCTAAGGATTTTTGGTGAATGTTTGTTTTTAGTGACGTTAAAGATTAATAGTGATAGTTTGCGACAATTATTATAAACATTTTTATGTCTGACAGTCTTCAAGAGCTGCTGTTTTATGTGATATTTGTTTAAAAATGGTTGAATCTTGCAGTGCGGTGAATTGTCGCAATAGACGCAGAAAAGATGTGACAATGAAGTTTTACAGGTTGGTTTTAATCATCCCATTCATTTTTGTGTGAGAATTACCTGTTAATTGGTAATTCGAGAAAATATCTGGATTTTTAGGATACCTACAGATCCTAACATGAGGAAGTTGTGGTTACATGCTATAAGGAGAGAAAACTTTACTCCCAGTACAACAACGGCAATTTGTGAAAAGCGTTTCACTCCAGAGGATTATGAAGTTAGTGTTCATGGAAATAAGGTACTAAAAAAGGTGGCAGTTCCATCTGTGTTTGATTTTCCAGCTCATCTCAAGAAAGAACCTAGCCATCGAAGGGTTTTGAAAAGAAAACATGAATACATAATTTCTAGAATGAACTATGGTATAACCTATATTGTATTATAATGAAAAACTGTGCATCTACAGTATTGTTAATGCCATTGTGCACAAATATTTTGTATACATATATAGAACTTGAGACGTGGTCATTGTCGTCTAGACCAGTTAGGTGAAAAATTAAGGCTTCCGCCTTTTGTTGGGTACTTCGACAAAAAATTAAGCAAAGAGGACTCTTTATACTTTTTTTATTCTCTCTAGCTTTCAATGGACTTTGCCATCATAATCAGGAGAGTAGTATGTGAGGATGTTGCTAATTGTTGTTTACGTTCAGGATGAGGGAACACCCAGTAACATGGTGAAAGCTGGATAAATGGTACAATGGTCAAAATTATATAAAATACACACAACTGTGTGACCAGAACAAGTTAAAAACAAATTAAGATTTTTAGAACATGAAAGCATCTTCAAGTGGCTTCACGATGTAATGCTTTCATGTCCTAAAAATGTTTAATCTGTTTTTAACTTGTTCTTGTCACACAGTTGTGTGTATTTTATATAATTTTGACCATTGTACCATTTATTCAGCTTTCACCATGTTACTGGGTGTTTCCCTCATCCTGAACGTAAACAACAATTAGCAACATCCTCACATACTACTCTCCTGATGATGATGGCAAAGTCCATTGAAAGCTATAGAGAATAAAAAAAGTATAAAGAGTCCTCTTTGCTTAATTTTTTGTCGAAGTACCCAACAAAAGGCGAATATATATATATATATATATATATATATATATATATATATATATATAACTTGAGACGTGGTAATTGTCGTCTAGACCAGTTAGGTGAAAAATTAAAGCTTCCGCCTTTTGTTGGGTACTTCGACAAAATTTAAGCAAAGAGGACTCTTTATACTTTTTTAATTCTCTCTAGCTTTCAATGGACTTTGCCATCATCTTCAGGAGAGTAGTATGTGAGGATGTTGCTAATTGTTGTTTACGTATAGGATGAGGGAAACGTCCAGTAACGTGGTGAGAGCTGGATAGATGGTACAATGGTCAAAATTATATAAAATATGACAAGAACAAGTTAAAAACAGATTAAAAATTATTTAAAAAACATTCAATGTTTTTAATATCATTTTCTAATTTCTTTGATGCACCTGCAAATGACAACAGTTTTGGCTGTTTGCCCATTTGCGTGTTTTATAAGTGCATCTCTTCCACTTTTGATATTAATATCTTTATCACCATGCATTTCGCATATTCGCGCCCTTTATTGCTTATTTAAGCCAGCCTTGGAAATCTGGCAATTCTTCCCAGTCTGCCTTATAATGTTGGGCACATGCACGCGAAAAAAAATGACTGCAAGACAGGCAATTCTAATCCTGGCCGAATTCGAAATTACTAAGTACACGAAATCATACAATACAGGCATGGACTTGTCACGAGCCGTTAGCCTAGTATCTTCGGTGATTCCCCAGATGAGAAGAATCAGCGTATGTGGCACACCAATGTCAGGCAAAGAGAATAAAAATACAGGGTGTCCGCAAAGTTGGGGTTTTCCTTTACACGACGTGTAGATCTTGAAAACATAAGCAATTTTTCTTAGTACCATATACACCAATGTCTCAAGGGAACCGAGATAAAGGGCTCTGCAACACCAAAAATATCTGAAAACTGGGTCGGGGTCAGTGTGTCAGGTCAGTATGCAACCTTCAACCGACGGTTACGGTCACGCGTGTAGAGGTAAACGAACCCGTATAATCGATTGCGTTTCAAAAAACAACAAGCACTAGAGACGTGGCTAGAGAAGTGCCAATATCAAAAACTAAAGTGTGGCAAACGCTGCGTGAAGAGGGGCTGTATCCGTTTCACGTCCAACGTGTACAAGCCCTTCAACCTGACGATTTTCCAGCAAGAGTGCGGTTTTGTGAGTGGTTGTTGCATCAACATGACAATAATCCGGACTTTTTGAAGTGCATATTGGTGACAGACGAATCTACGTTCACGCTTAATGGGGTGAATAACTTCCGCAACACTCGTGTTTGGTCAGTAGAAAATCCGCACGCTGTCCGTCGGGCACATTTTCAACAAACATTTTCGGTGAATGTTTGGGCTGGCATGGTGAACGGTATGCTCATTGGACCATTTATTCTCCCAAATCGATTAGACGGGATGCAATACCTAGACTTTTTACGCAACATTTTGCCTTCCTTGTTAGAAGATGTGCCATTAAGTGTAAGACAATCAATGTGGTTTCTGCACGATGGTGCACCGCCCCATTTTAGACGCGAAGTGCGTGAGTTTTTGAATGAATTATTTCCGAATAGGTGGATCGGACGTAATGGACCCGTAGCGTGGCCTCCGCGATCTCCAGACTTAACACCATGTGATTTTTTTCTTTGGGGAGAAATGAAACGCTTAGTGTACAAAACTGAAGTGCATACGGTTGACGAACTTCGTCTCAGAATTGAACAAGCTGGTGCTTTCATTCGGGGAGGGACTCCATTCTCAAAGCCTGCACCGATTCTTGGCTACGTCGTGCACGCACCTGTGTTTTTGAATCAAACGGCGATAACTTCGAACAATACCTATAAAGTACGTTTACCTAAAAACTGAAAACGCGGCAACGCCGTCTTATTTGTTACCTCTGTTCGTGGTCTGCACCACCGCCGGCGTCTGCTCGGTAGCGCATCAGCTGATTTCATTTTCTGTTGGAGCGATATGGTTTCGGGCAGAGATGTACTTAGCACTTCTCGTCAACTGGAGAGTGAGTACTTTTTCCTTAATTTTTTTTACTTGGTCGCCCTCGTTTCACTACACATTACCTTTGTTATTTCAAGGGTAGTTGTTTCTGAAAAGGAAAAACCCAACTTTGCGGACACCCTGTATAGGGAACAAAAATTATTCAATTGAAAAAAGTCCACTTTTTGGTAGATTTTGCTTTAGTTCGGTAGACCAGGACCAAAATCGGTAGACTTGGTAACACTGGTTCCGCCTCTCGAACGAGACCACTGGCGCTCCACTACGACATCAACCGACTTAATGACGCGCATTTAAAAAAAAAGGAACTTATGCTGCCACGCCTTGTATGTGGTCGCGAAGCCAAAGTCACTCCTTTCTCGCAAAACTCATTGATTCTTGTCGCAGCATTGTAACAAGTTTATGGTCGTAGTGGCCAGTCTTGTTTATGATTTTAGCTTGGGTCGCAAATTTACAATTTATTTGGTAATGCATTGGCGGATTTAGATTTCAATAAAATGGTACATAATGCTGTATCTTGCTACGAAAGTTGCCCTGCTAGACCTGAATGGCCCCTTCCCAACCAAAAAACTAAAAAAAAAAAAATACTCAACATAATGTGATATAAGTTTATTATCATAACAAACACGCCATAAGACAAAACTCGATGAAAAAACGACTATATACACAACTCTAATAATTACGTAGTCATGCCATAAGTTCTGTCCCTCGTTTTCAAACAAGTGTAGACCTGTTAATACTTGTCCGATTGTTTACATTGTGGTGTCAGTTGATTAAGCGCTTTTCGGGTAATTACATATACCTCAGTTTGTATTGATCTCTCGAAGCATAACGATGGAGTGGGGCAAGGCAGAGAACCGTATTGCAGTGATAGCTTTACATAAGTGTAATCACAGTGCTAGTCAGATTTTTGAACTCTTACGCGGCCTTCAAATATCGCGTAAATTTGTGTCTAGGACCATTCAGCGGTACAATGAGACGTCCTCTGTTGATGACAGGCCAAGAAGCGGAAGACCTCGTCAAGTAAGGACTCCAGCAGCCATCAAAGCCGTAAAAGCCAGGATTCAAAGGAATCCACTCCGGAAGCAGAAGATCCTATCCAGGGAAATGAAGATTCCTGTCCGGACGATGTCGCGCATCATTAAACAAGACCTAGGGCTAGGGGCTTACCGGAGAAGTACGGGCCAGCGACTTACGGCCACCTTGCGACACATCAGGGCGACAAGATCCAAGAAGCTCTTGGAGAGGTACGCAGCTGGGGGATTCCGAAAGATTTTGTTCACGGATGAGAAAATCTTCACCATAGAAGAAAAATTCAACCGACAAAATGACAAAGTGTATGCAAGGAGTTCACAGGAAGCTTCGGAGATCATTCCGAGAGTTGAGAGAGGCCACCACCCTGCGTCAGTCATGGTTTGGTGGGGGGTGTCCTACGAAGGGGTCACTCAGCTCCATTTCTGTAAACAGGGCGTGAAAACAAAAGCGGCAAACTATCAGAGCGACATACTGGATCCTATCGTCAAGCCTTTAAGTGGTACATTGTTTGCCAACCAACACTGGGTCTACCAGCAGGATTCCGTCCCCGCTCACAAGGCTAAGAGTACGCAGCGCTGGCTGGAAAGCAATGTGCCAGAGTTCATTGCTGCGGAAGATTGGCCCTCAGGGAGTCCGGACCTCAATCCTTTAGACTACAAGTTGTGGGACCTGCTAGAGCAGTTGGCCTGCTCCAAAGCCCACCGTAATATCGAGTCCCTGAAAGCGGATTTGATCCGATCAGCGGCAGCTATTCCTTTGGAAGCTGTGCGTGCAGTGATAGATGAGTGGCCCGCGAGATTGAAGCAGTGTGTGAAGGCCAAGGGGGGACATTTTGAATAAAACTGTTTGATTATGAATTCTAAAAATGTTGTCGAATAAATAATATCTTTCATATAAATATATCTTATCTTGTTTCATTTTTATCATGAGATTATCATGGGACAGAACTTATGGCACGACTACGTATAATATGCTGAAGTATGTTAGCTTAAAAAAGCTAGGTGTAGCTGTAAGTGTAATTCCAATCCTCCATAAGTGATACCATTATACACAAAACCATGCAATAAATGATCAACCGACAAAACTGTCTGAAAATTCAAGTGGGAATGAAAGAACTGATCGAAACTTTTGATACCAAAATGGTATGCATACAAAAATTTAAAGTTCATATGCCACCTATATAGGAAAACATTCTACCATGCCTATTAGCGGACGGATGTTCATGTAGCAAACTGTAATAATTAGGCACTAACAATATATTTCTCAATCAGTAGAATAGTTGCTTTCACCTGAAGAAAGAAATTAGAGGGATTAGGATCTCTATGCCTTTGGGAGTACAGTTACAACTTTTGGGGAAAGTCAAGTACGAGTACACTGACCTGAAACCAGCAGATCAAAATGAAAGCGGAGTCTACTTTAATGTTGTCGAGACGCTCTCAGGGTAAAACATAGGTATTAAGCCTTCCATTGATACACTGTGGACGTGCATAATTGTGGTAAGACCCATGATAACTTATGCATCTTTGGCGTGGTAGCCAAAGATGAGACAACGTGCTTCCAAAAGACTTGCCTGTTTGTCTATAACAGATGCAACGAACAGCTGAAGGCATGTATATTATGGGAATAGGTGTAATCCTAGGCATAGTATACCACTTGGAAGACACACAGTCAAGCCGTAAAGAAGTCATAGAGTGACTTCTGCCACTGATTTAGAAATGCCAACAGGATCTGAACACAAGAAGGTATGTGAAATAATTTGTCTCGAGACCATGTCCATACACCCTAACTAGAAACCAGAGAGTTTAGAACAGCACCGGCAGGGAAACTGTACCAACTGGCACAGAACACTAGACTACGAGATGGGGCACTGTAAATTCGAGGAGAAAGGTCCAATAAATCCAAGAGGCTGCAGTGCCCTAGGGGACTTTGATCGGACGAAACTAAAATGGGAGATCGAACGGAACACCAAAGGCACAACCTGCAAGGGGAAATTACTTGGTAGGCATATAAGGGAATGGGTGTAATCCTGGGCATAGTATACCACTTGGAAGACACACCCCTGCATTTCAGGCAGAATAACAAAAGGATCTTCAATGAGTACAAACCAACTCAGTGTAGTTACAGGCCTCCTAGCAGGATCACAAGAGAGATCAACTCTTCGGGAAACCATAACTAGAAACCAGAGAGTTTAGAACAGCACTGGCAGGGGAACTGTACCAACTGGCACAGAACACTAGACTGCTGGATTCGGCACTGTAAATTCGACGAGAAAGTGCAATAAAACCAAGAGACTGCAATGCCATCGGGGACTTTGATCGGACGGAACACCGAACAAAAAAAAACACTATTCTGAAAGAAATTATTATCAAACTATGATGATGACAGCAAAACAATTTATACGGTAATGATCCCCAGTTTCTGAGCAAGGTACCATTTAATACAAAGTCTGTGTAAAATAGTATCATATTTCATTACAAAGACCAATGTATCTATTAACTAAATTAAACTTTTACACTAAAATAATTTTTATTAATATATACCTCACCACATAGTATCAGTACGAAAATATCCAAGATCAGCCTTAACAATTCACAGCTCAATAAGGTTGATTGGTTAATATGAGAAACTCTTAAAATTTTGAGAGATTATGTTCAAGTTTAGATTCCAAACAAAATATCATACAGAAAATCTATACAAAGATACGATGAATGTAAATGGAAAATGCATCTGACTTGAGGGAGTTTGACATAGTTATACTATTGCTGGTATTTTTTCTTCTTATAACACGGATATTTTGCTCAATACACTAGTTCCGTCCAAAACACCTTAAAGTACCAACAAAAATCTATAAGGTTATTTTATTACATATCATGGATGTTTTAAAATACTCAAAGATGTCAGTTCTATATGCCACAGGATGTTTAAACTATTCATTTATCGAAATGAACCAATAAAATGACGAATAAAATCAGTAAACCCAATAAAACTATGTAGGTATGACAATCCCTGTTATTTCAGATCACCTTATCAACTTTTTCAGTCTGCCAGATGCGTTTTACTACATTCCGCCAGGGTCAATGGATTTACACGTAATTTAACCTAATCTAAAAAAAATTTACTAAAAAAAAAAAAACATTTAAAAGACCACCCGGTAATCTGATTCATGATAAGTAGCATTCCAAAAAATGTAATTATGAAAAAATGGATCGGAAAATTTCCTCCACGAATGCCAAGTTTTTGCCTCGTCTATGCTCATCAAACTGTTGTGTGAGCGCTCCAAATTTTTGTTGTACAAGGCCAATAAGGATAAAAGAACAATTTGTCTATAATTTTTTATTTCCACAACAATCCACTCACCAACCTTAAAGAACTGCGATAATAACTACCGCCTTGTAAAGAATTTCTTACACCTCTTCCACATCGCCCTGCTTCTGAACCTAATCCAGATTGTCGTCATCATGCGAAGCATTCGCAGACGGGTCAGAAGCACCTGATGGTGGCTTTGGGAATCCCCCGGGGAACCCGGGAAATCCCCCGCCGGCTCCTCCGGGAAACCCCGGAAAGTTCATGCCCGATCCGGAGAACTTGCCTGACAGTTTCGTAATCAGCGCCATTATTTTCGGGTTCGACGTGTACTTTACCAGGTTCGAGGGATTGGTGGAGATGTCTTGGAAGGCGGCTGCTACCTCCGGGTCCTATAATAACAGAAACTTAGATAGATAGATACCTACCCTAAACAGGTTACTTTCCTGCCAGTTGGAAAAATGGTATTATCATTCCAATAGTTAAAACTAATCATCCAGAACAATATTCGGATCTCAGGCCAATTACCTTATTATGCTTTCTATCAAAAATACTCGAAAGAGCTGTCTACTCACAACTAGTGGAGTTTTTCCAACAAAACCACTTATTTCCTCTACATCAGACAGGCTTCAGAGCTGGTTACAGCACTACTTCGTCTTTATTACATCTTACTGATTCCATCATTCACAATTTAGATAATCACATCAACACCGTCTTGGTACTGTTAGATTTCTCGAAAGCCTTTGATATGGTCAATCACCAGATACTACTGAGTAAGTTATCTCATTATGGAATGTCAGATATAGTTCTAAGGTTCTTTGAGTCATACTTGCTAAATCGTAAACAAACAGTGAAAACTGATCAGGGAATTTCCTCCTCTGAGCCAGTTCCTTCAGGAGTTCCTCAGGGCTCAGTATTAGGTCCCTTACTATATCTGATTTATACGATCGATCTGCAAGACTGTTTAGTCCACTGTAGTATGCAAACTTATGCAGATGATACTCAGTTAGTGTTTGGTTTCGATCCATCAAAGGTTGATGAAGTTTCTTTTAAAGTTAATTTAGATTTGGCTACCATCGGTGATTACTGTAACAAACACTGCTTGAAGATCAATCCTAATAAAACTACTGCAATGTTGTACTGTTCGAAGAACTCCTACCGTGAAATGAAGCAGAGGGTTTGTGTTTTTTTGGATGAGACACTCATCCCTTTTGTGGATTACGCCAAGAATCTCGGTGATACCCTTGACTTAAATATGAGATTCGATCGGCATGTCTCTTTCTTATCGAGAGTAACGTATATGCGTTTGAAACTCTTCTATTCTAATGGATACATCTTGAATTTTAAAACCCGAAAAAAGCTCGCTGAAAGTCTTGTGTTGTCTGTCATTTCTTACTCTCTTGTTCTTTATTACCCATGTTTAGACTACGTCCACAAAAGGAAACTCCAGAAAATTAAGAACAGCTGTTGTAGGTTTATTTTTGGATTACGCAAGTTTAGTCGCGTCTCAGATAAAATCAAAGAACTCAACTGGTTGCGAATTGATAAGTTATTTTTAGATCTTTTGACCGTCTTCACGCATAAAGTTCTATTATCTAACAGACCAGCTTACCTCGCTAGCAAATTAGTTCACCGAGGTAGTTTTGTTACCAGAGCTCTTAGATTTAATGCTAATTTTAACATGCCTCCTCACAATACCTCGGTCTTTGAAAGAAGTTACACCTATAATGCTGTCAAGCATTACAATGCAGTCAACAGTGGCTATCGATCCAAACAGGTTGTTTCTTTTAAGAAATTAATGAAAAGTCAGCTGCTGGAGTCCATTTGGTTCAGTTTTTCTTGTGTTCATGTGATTTTTTTTTTTGTTTGACTATTTTCTACTATTTTTGTTTCAAATTTAAAACTCTCGCAATACTATCTGCATTTGTCTCGTGCAAGCAATGTTGTCATTCTTATGAATTGTATTTTTTTTTGGTATGTTATTATTTTGTTTATGTGTTTAAGTATTCTTTTTCCCTGTTGTGGGGTTGAGTGTGGCTAAACTTCGCCTTACTGCAGCTAATAAAGGCATTATTATTATTGACTCTTTCGATCATTTGAATTTTTCTTAAATGATTACTATCATAAAAAGGATGATAAAGCTTACAAATTCGATTCAGTTGCAGCAGAGGTAGATTATTCTACAGGTAAAAATTAACCAAAATCAATGATACAACGTTTTTTATCGATTCAGATGCGCGATAATCTTTGGATTTATTTAAGTTATATTTTGGGGTTGGGAGGCTGTAAATTCTACCTATGTATCATCACAGTGTTTGTACTATCACAAAGCTTTGAATTGTTCATGCGCTTACCTGAAATGCAGTCATAATTTCCGGGTCCTGCAGCAGTTTGTAGAAATCCCCCATTCCAGGCATCCCTCCGGGCATCCCACCTGCTCCGGCTCCTCCCAAATCAGGCGCGTCATCTTGCTTCTCAGCGGCCTTCGCATGCGCCTCTCTAGCTTTCCTTAACCTCTCCAATTTCTCCCTTTCCTCTTTCTCTTTCTTCCTCCTTTCTTTCTTCAGCAGGTGTTCCTCGATTTTCTTCGCGTTGGGGGTAACTTCCTTCAACCACTCATCGGTTTGTTCATCCAAGTCAATGTTGCATGCTTGACGGAGGTCTTTGGCGGCCAGCTCCCATTCGCCTACGTTTTTAGGTATTTTCATTAAAAAATAGCGTCAAGCGGGTTGACTCTGCACGCCGTCATCAGTTCGTAAAGGATCAAACTCAACGCAATTTAAATCCTCTGACAAAAGGTCTGTTATGAACATGGAACAAGACAATGTAGATGTTTCAATGTCTAGACTACATAAATGGTTTTCAAATAATGATTTATATTTAAATATAAACAAGACACAATGTATTAGATTTCACACAAGACAAAAAATATGCAACAAGCTAAGTTTCGAATTGAATAACATTAATACAGGGTGTTTGGTGCATCATTTGCCAAATTGAAATGGCGGACAGGTCTTTTTCTATCACCCCAGGTCCCTCAAACAGTTTTTAGCCCAACGGCATTAATTATGTAGATTTTTTAATTTTTTTTAGTAAAAATTGCAAAATGCAATATGTCCACCTAATGATTAATTTATCTTAATGTCCGGTTTTTTCGTTTCTTGCTGCACACAGACGTGGACGATCCGGACTTTTTGACAAGTATTCTGTGGACGGTTGAGTCCAAATTCACCAAGGAAGGGATACTAAATTGGTACAACATCACCCATTAAGATAAATTAATCATTAGATGGACATACTCTTTATTATTTTTATCTCACTTTGTGTATTATATTTTGGAGTTTTTACTAAAAAAATTAAAAAATCTACATAATTAATTTCGTTGGGCTAAAAACTGTTTGAGGGACCTGGGGTGATAGAAAAAGATCTCATCTGTCCGTCATTTCAATTTGGCAAACGATGCACCAAACACCCTGTATATTCAAGGAATAATGAACCAGTTCACTTAGTACAATCATAAGAATCGTTCGATTGAACTAGTTCGTTTGCGAACTATACACTAGTACGCTGCAATATGGATAGATTAGTCAGCCGGATCGGTGCGCCAGGCGGCGAGCTTAAATAGAAGTACGCATATTGAAAACGTTTCTCTATAATTCAGAGTTTTAAAGGCAAATATACGGGGAAGTCTATGATGTGAGAAATATGGTTAATAGGTACATACAATTATAATAATTAATAATTTTCATATAAATTGAAGTAATATTATAAAATAACGATTCAATTGTTACCTAGTAATCTATAAGCTCTTCCCCTAAATTTATATGCAGCTGCAGAATCAGGGTTGATCTCCAAAGCTCTGGTACAATCTTTAATACAAGCATTAGGTTTTGTAAGCCTCAGGTAAGCCTGTCCTCTCTTAGCAAATAGCAAGGCACTATGTGGATTGAACTCGATGGCTTCTGTGAAAAGTTCAATAGCCTTTTCTACATTTCCTTCAGAAAGTTGCTGCATGGCCTCAATTCGTTTTTCATCTGCCTTGTCGCTATCCTCATCTGTGCACTATTTTGGGAAAAATTGAAGTGTGAATACAAATATACATGGTGTTAATTAAGTATCTACCATAAATTTAACAGACGATTCTTTGAGTAGTTTTAAGACAAAAAGTTCATATAAACATAGGTCCGCAGGTTCTTCGTTCGCAAGATACAGGATGTTAAAATTAAAAAAACATATAACTTATTATGATATATAATATAGGTCACTGACTTTTGTGCAATTTTTATTATGTTCTTTGGATTAAACAAATAGAAATACAACTTTTTTGTCTCTTGCAGTTTTTTCGTATGTTGGAATATGGGAAAAGGTTTTTTTTTTGGAGAAATTATCATTTTTTTATAATTCTCCATTACTGATTATGTAACAACAACAAATAAACACTAAATTAAATTACATTAATATCTAAACTAATGAATTTTACTAATTTCCAAAAGAAACGTTTCCCCATTTTCCTTGTGTAGTCCAGGGATTAATTAAGTGGACTTTTTTCTCGAAAACTTTAAGAGACAAAAAAGTTGTATTTCTATTTGCTTAATTCAAAGAACATAATGAACATTGCACAAAAGTGGAGTATATTTTTTGTCACAAATATTCGTTCAAGACTGCACTGTACTTAATAAATTTAATCAAGTGAGAACTAAATCGGCTCCTTAATGTTATAAATACCACCGCCAAATTACAACAACATTATATTTAAGATATTTACGAAAAACGAGTTTTTTTTTTATTTTAACACCCTATATATTGAGAACTAAGAATTTGCGGAATTTGTTTATATGAACTTTTTGCCGACATACGTACTGCACGCTTCCGCGCTTCTCTATATATGACATAATGAAATTTTGCGTTTCATTTGTCGCCATTAAACCAAACTTCATATAAATCACAGACACGTCTGTTAAAGCTAGTAATATTGGAGGCCAGAAAACATTTGCATTGGGAAAACACTAAGGTAAGGTCCAATGACAAGCTGCAGGTACTGCCACTGGTAAAATCTGTAGCACAATATGATGCAAAGCTTTGTGGCTTCCAAAGTTTGACAACAAAACCTTCAAGAGATGTGGTTCCAACAGGTCAGAGTAATGCTTAAAAAACAATCAGTGTTTTGCAAACAATTTTTTCAGTCTTTCATCTCCACACTAACCAATGTTATATCGCCCCCAAATCACCAGTCTTAAGAGCCCTAGTCTTTTTTCTGTATGATTTTCTAAAGAATAAGATTTATGCTAGTAAATCAAGCACTACAGAACAGCTGAAAACATATTCCGGAAACTATTCAAGAATATGCTTCCCAACATCAATAAAAAGTGGGGAAATGGTCATACTTAACCACAAACTTTCCTTAAAAAATTAGTAATAAGCAATTGAAGTGAATCTATTAAATCCAATGAATAACTAAATAGGAGCTACCCAAGGAATTGTTTGACTCCTTTTCTCATAGTCTGTAATGAGAATCAAAGTGCACTTGAGTCAATTTTTTATAGTCAAATCAATATTTTTAGTGTTATTTTTGCACCAGTAAGCATTATTATTACTGTTATACTGACACTTTGCTGGGGATTGGTAGATGAATGGGTGAAAACTATGCACTAAAACTACATAATTTTGGTGAAAAAAATGCAATGTTAACATATAGGTTTGGCTCCTAATCTATTTTGAATTTGTTGATTGAATCTATTTGATTTTATTCTAAAGTCTTTAGAGAAACAAGCCAGTCAGTTATACAGGGTGGCCAAACACGTGACGTCATAAAAAAAAAATTAGATTCCCCACATCGAGAGGAACCCAAATCACCCCCATATATATGGTCCGATTTTGTTTAGTTTAGGAGTTATGATTTTTTTTCGGGTTTTTCGAGAATTTTTGAGTTCTGTGTTTATTTTTACCATAACTTCGTTAATAATTGTGATAAATGCCTGCTTTTTTCACGATTATGTAGCTAAGACCTAATGCTTAACTATCATATAATCATTCAAATCATGTAACTAATACTACTTTTTAATTTTTTTCAAAATCTTCGAACATAACAAAAAAGTAAAAAAGTGCAACAACTTTGAACGTTTATAAAAAATTGAAAAAACATGTTCTTACTATTCATAAGTATCTTAAAAACTTCCTTACGGTATCAGCTATTTACCGTAAAAATTTCATCAACCTAGCTTTACTACATGCTACCGTAATTGTGGCTCAAATAGAACCGAACCCAAAATTGGATAACCCTCTGCTCAATAGAAATTGTTAGTTTCGGAAAAAAAATTTGCAAAAACCACAAAAACACGTTTGATTTTTACTGAACAGCAGATTATTATTCATTTATGTTATTTACAAGAGGTTTTCAAAATGTCTGCCTCTAACAGAAATGCACAGTGTACACCTACGTATGAAATTTTGTTTTAAATCTCTAAATGCTTGTGTGTTGTTTTTCAACACATGTGTCGCTTCTTGAATTTTGTTCCTCAATGAATTTTCATTTGCACATTCTTGGGCGAATGTTATGTCTTTAAAATATCCCCAAACAAAAAAATCAATGGGGTTGAGGTCAGGGGAGCGTGGAGGCCATCGTATCGGTCCGTTTCGTCCGATCCATCTGTCTGGGAACCTTTCGTTTAAGTAGTTTCGCACGATCGTTGCGTTGTGGCATGGTGCACCATCATTCTGGAACACCAAGTTCCGTCTGGCTTCCAGGCTTGAATCTTCCAGCAATAATGGTAGGCTATTTTCAAGGAAGCTTTTGTAGGCTACCGAATCCAACCTTGACGGCAGTTCAAATGGACCGATAAATTCCATATTGAATATTCCTGACCACATGTTCACACTAAAACGGTGTTGAAATGTCGACGGCCTTGACTGGTGGGGGTTTTCAACAGCCCAAGTATGTAAATTATGGATATTGAATATCCCTGTTCTTTCAAAACGTGACGTCAGTCCATAAAATTTTATCAAAAAAATCGGGATCCTCTCGTTGTCTTCGCAGCATTGTCTCGCAGAAATCCACTCTTAACTGGTAATCTGAAGGCATCAACGCTTGAACTCTTTGAACATGATAGGCATGATAACCTTCTTCATGAAGAATATTTTGTATCGATGTTCGTGGTATTCTAAGGTTTTGTGCCATAGATCTCGTACTCGTTGAGGGATTCCGGCTAATTTCTTCAAGTACTACTTCTCTGCGATCCGGATCAGCTGTAGGATATCCTTCATTGCTTCCTCGTCCTGGAATGCGGCCTGCCATGAAAGTGTTATGTGTGTTAATAAAAACACGGTGGTCTGGGTAATGCTCAGGTTGTGGTCCGCCTCGGCGTATAAGTTGTTCCCGGTACAGCTGAGCTGCTAAAGCGCCGTTGCCTTGAGCAACGCCATAATAATAATGCATTTCTGCATATTCACGCAACGTATAATGCATCACAAACTTCTTAGCAAAATATTCTTCATGAAGAAGGTTATCATGCCTATCATGTTCAAAGAGTTCAAGCGTTGATGCCTTCAGATTACCAGTTAAGAGTGGATTTCTGCGAGACAATGCTGCGAAGACAACGAGAGGATCCCGATTTTTTTGATAAAATTTTATGGACTGACGAGTCACGTTTTGAAAGAACAGGGATATTCAATATCCATAATTTACATACTTGGGCTGTTGAAAACCCCCACCAGTCAAGGCCGTCGACATTTCAACACCGTTTTAGTGTGAACATGTGGTCAGGAATATTCAATATGGAATTTATCGGTCCATTTGAACTGCCTTCAAGGTTGGATTCGGTAGCCTACAAAAGCTTCCTTGAAAATAGCCTACCATTATTGCTGGAAGATTCAAGCCTGGAAGCCAGACGGAACATGGTGTTCCAGAATGATGGTGCACCATGCCACAACGCAACGATCGTGCGAAACTACTTAAACGAAAGGTTCCCAGACAGATGGATCGGACGAAACGGACCGATACGATGGCCTCCACGCTCCCCTGACCTCAACCCCATTGATTTTTTTGTTTGGGGATATTTTAAAGACATAACATTCGCCCAAGAATGTGCAAATGAAAATTCATTGAGGAACAAAATTCAAGAAGCGACACATGTGTTGAAAAACAACACACAAGCATTTAGAGATTTAAAACAAAATTTCATACGTAGGTGTACACTGTGCATTTCTGTTAGAGGCAGACATTTTGAAAACCTCTTGTAAATAACATAAATGAATAATAATCTGCTGTTCAGTAAAAATCAAACGTGTTTTTGTGGTTTTTGCAAATTTTTTTTCCGAAACTAACAATTTCTATTGAGCAGAGGGTTATCCAATTTTGGGTTCGGTTCTATTTGAGCCACAATTACGGTAGCATGTAGTAAAGCTAGGTTGATGAAATTTTTACGGTAAATAGCTAATACCGTAAGGAAGTTTTTAAGATACTTACGAATGGTAAGAACATGTTTTTTCAATTTTTTATAAACGTTCAAAGTTGTTGCACTTTTTTACTTTTTTGTTATGTTCGAAGATTTTGAAAAAAATTAAAAAGTAGTATTAGTTACATGACTTGAATGATTATATGATAGTTAAGCCTTAGGTCTTAGCTACATAATCGTGAAAAAAGCAGGCATTTATCACAATTATTAACGAAGTTATGGTAAAAATAAACACAGAACTCAAAAATTCTCGAAAAATCCGAAAAAAAATCATAACTCCTAAACTAAACAAAATCGGACCATATATATGGGGGTGATTTGGGTTCCTCTCGATGTGGGGAATCTAATTTTTTTTTTATGACGTCACGTGTTTGGCCACCCTGTATATAAAACTGTCCCCAAATCTCACATGGGATGTAAGAATAAACATCAACTTGGAATGGTAAAAATTATAGATATTATTAGAGATAATCATGTAGTTTTAGACAGATTCATGTAAAAAAAATCCATATTAGAATTGTAATATTTTACCTCCTTATTTGGGTCTCCCATTTTCTGATTCTCATCAAGCATATCAGGCTCGACACATCCACTCATGTCAAGCTCTATCTCAGACTCTGGGTCAGACTCTACAGGCTCTTCGGTAGGCTTGGCAGGTTCTTCTGGGACCTCCACTTTGGGACCAGCCGACATCCTGGGGGCGACCGGAATTTTACCACCTTGGATAGAAGAAAAAAATGTTATATATGGACCACAAGCATGCTTCCTTTCTGCTAATACCTAGTGCTTCAATGAACTCCTTGAAGAACTTGAGTTCTGGCAGGTGTAGAATGGCAGCATTCGACTTGCATACGTCAATAAATTGTTTTAGTTGTACAAGGGCTTCTTTGCTTATTGGACAACTCATTTTGAGCGATTTTCCAAAAACTGAATAAACTGGACACCGGTGACGATTTTTGTTGACAAGGAAAATACTTGCAAAACGTAAATATGACGTCTGTCAGGCACGTCATGTGGGGTGGGTTTGACGCCTATGAAAGCTGGTATAGGCAACCAGAGTAGCACTGTGTTAGGGCCGTCACTGACGAAACACTTTCTTCTTGGGCCGGCTCAACGCGCAAAGTTGTTACGAGGTGAGATACGTCTAGAGGAGGGACGTATGTCAGCGCGAAAAATACAGGAACATTGCATCGTTCTATTGCAAAAAAAATGGTAGGCTTGTACGAGGGTGGCCCCAGAAGTACCCGGCCTGACCTAGAGATGGCGATAGTTGTTTGAAAAATATCATTGTATTAGAAAGTATGCAACTTATAAAGCATATGTGTCAAGTTTGAAGACGCCACGTTGTTTAGTATTTGTTGGCAGCCATCAATACTGAACGTGTTCAGTGAATTTGTGAAAATGGAGAAAATTGGTCATCGATATGTGGTACAATACTGGTACTATTTCAAAGGCCTCCACCCAACCAATATAAGAGCTTCACTGGATTCTACCGTGGGCGGATCCAGTTCCGAGCTAGCAGCCGTCGCGAGTATACACTTGTGCCACTGCGACCCACCCGGACATATTGAGCAATCTTATTGCAATTTTCATTGCGATAGATTGGTTGTTTGCCATCTACGATGGCAAAAATTGAGAAGCTGGCTAACCAGCTGAAAGAAAAGAAAGATGCTTTCGCCATGCTGGGAGAGCAGATGCGAAACCTGCAAGAAGCCTTCTTGCAGGCTCAACAGGAGATCGAGGAGCTGAATGGGAAGCTCCGCAGGGCCAAGAAGAAGGCCGCAAAGAAGACAGAAGAAGAGGAGGAAGAGGACCACCAGGCTACGTCGGACGAGATGGACGCTCAGGAAGAGGGCACTCAACGGACCGAAGAAATAGAAGAAGAAGCCGAGAAGAGGACCGACGACACCGATTTCAGTGTCGCCACTAGACGGAGGAAGCGGGTGCGAGTTTCCTCCTCCGAAGATGAGTCGCCCAGGCAGCCAAAGATGCCAGCTGCTGCCACCAAGAAGAGTCCTAGAGCAGCCAGGACCATCGTGCCCCCCATGTCGGGAACAGGAGTTCCCCCCATCAGCATCGAGGGCACCGCTGACTGGTCATCCTTAAGCAGGATGATGAACAGCAAGGGGATCCAATTCTCCAAGGCGAGGACGGCGGGTAACAGTGTGAAGGTGTTCACAAATACACCAGCTGACTACCGTCAGCTAGTCGCACTGCTGGAATCCATCAAGCGGCCCTTCTTCACCTATCAACTGAAGGAGGACAGGATGGACCAGAGGGTCATTCGTGGGCTACCCAGGGAGATGTCAGTCAATGACATCAAAGAGGATCTAGTGAGCCAAGGCATCGCAGACGCCGAGGTTCAGCAGATGACCTCATCTTCCTCGTCAAGACGAAGATGCCGGAAAAGCTTGCAGAGATCCAGAGGCTGGCCATGCTCACGGTCAGCTTCGAGAGGAAGAAAAAGTCTTCCGAGCCCAGCCAATGTTACCGCTGCCAGCGGTACGGGCACACACAGCGGAACTGCCGTCTCGCTGAACGGTGCGTTAAGTGTGGAGAGGACCACAACAGCACCAGCTGCAGTCTGCCAGCGCCGCCAACAGGGCAACGAAACGCCAAGTGTTGCCTCTGTGGAGAAGGCCACCCCGCCAACTACAAGGGATGTAGTAAGGCCCCGAAGAAAGCTGCTTCTGCCCCCAAAGCAGTCCCCACCACAAATAGGACTTCTTACGCTCAAAAAGCGAAGAAACCTATGTCCACTTCTGCCCCAGCAGCGGCCACTGCTACTGGAACTACTGCGCAGAAGAAACACGGCGATGACAGACTGCTAGCAATGATGCAAGCCATCATAACCCGCCTGGATGCACTCGAGGCCAAGATGCAAGACAAGCACTAGACCCGAAATGTCTACAGGGCAAAACGTAGAATCTCTACGCATTATCTCCTGGAACATCAACGGATTCAGGGCACGGAAACCAGAAATCCAGGAGATACTAGACCAGTACCAACCAGAGGTGATGGCCATCCAAGAAACGAAATTGGATGCTGCCCATAGTCTGACGTTCCCGCGGTACGAGACGTACCGCTACGACAGAAGGGGCAGAGGTGGAGGAGTCGCATTACTCGTCAAACGTACCTTGACGAGTCATGTCCTCGACGATGCCGCAGACATAAATGGGGACGGAATCACGGTCCAGGTCCATCACAACCACCGTCCCTACAGAATCACCTCCCTATATGTGCCACCAGGGGAGGCCCTAGACGAAGATGACATCGCTGACCTCCTGAGAGGCCCAGGAGCACGCATAGTCATCGGAGATCTAAACTGCAAGTCTCCGGCATGGAACAACAACGTCGAAGACAGGAATGCAAGGCAGCTCCAGGAACACGTCGATGCCCTGGCGGGGGTCATCGTCGGTCCGGAGCAACCAACCTACATTCCATTCGGCCTTGGGCGACCTGCGGTACTGGACATAGCCATCCTCCGCAACATCAGAGAGGAGTTCGAGATAGAGACCCTGGTGGAAGGATCGTCGGACCACAATCCGATTCTACTAACACTTGGCACAGGGTCTAGAACTCGAGATAGCTTGAGCACCAAACGGACGAACTGGAACCTGTACAAATCCAACGTCCAAAGGAACATCACTCAAATTCCAACCATCCGATCAGCGGAGGAACTGGACAACGCAGTAGAGGAGCTGGAGAATGCTGTCCTGCGAGCGCACGAGGACAGCACCCGCTCCGAGACTACGGCAGTTCCTAGACACCTAAATGGTCCAGCACCGCACCATATTAGGCACCTGATCAGGGAGAACAGAAGACTCAAGCGAGAACATCTCCAGCTGTTGACAGAGGAGTCGAGAGTTGCGCGAAACAGAGCATCGTTAGCTCTGAAGAAAGCACTCGCGGAACTCCAAAACAACAGATGGAATGCAGCCTGTGCAGAACTAGAGACACAGGATGGTACGGCCTGGTCTATGCAGCGAAAATTTCGTCGTCAGCGCACCACGATCCCCACTCTTCACGGCCAACGCGGCTTGGCCTACTCCAGTGAAGAAAAAGCCGAAGCATTCGCCGATTCGCTAGAATCCGAATGCAGACTCAATTACCATGAAGACGAGGACGACAACCACGAGGAGGCCGTGGAAGTCGCAGCCGAAAACATGAGGAGTCGACCACCTGGTCAGGAGACGGATCACCCCTCCAGTCCAGGGGAAATCCGTCTGATCATCCGCAGGTTGAAGGTCAGAAAGGCGCCGAGAAGGGACGGCATCAACAACAGGATGCTGAAGAACCTCCCCACCAAAGGCATTGCTGCGCTCACCAACATCGCCAATGCCACCCTGAGACTTAACCGCGGTGGCGGGAAGCCCAGGTTATAATGCTCACCAAGCCAGGCAAGGACCGGAAGTTGCCCCAGAACTATCGGCCCATCAGCCTGGTTTCCTCGATGGGCAAAGTAGTCGAAAAGGCTATCGCCGTTCGACTAGAGAAGCAGGCAGAAGAACTGCAACTTCTCCCCCCAGAGCAATTCGGCTTCAGATCCTCGCACAACACGGAACTCCAAGCGCTACGACTGACAGAAAACATCACCAGCGGCTTCAATCTCCAGGAGGCAACTGGTCTCGTCCTGCTGGACGTGGAACGAGCCTTCGACCGAGTTTGGCACGATGGACTCATCGCCAAAATGGAAGCCGCCGGAATCGATGCGAACATGTGCCAACTGATCCAGAGCTATCTAACACAAAGATGGTTCACGGTGAAGATTGGTACATGCCATTCAACAAGACGACAGCTGGAAGCAGGCGTGCCCCAGGGGTCAGCCTTAGCCCCCCTGCTCTACAACATCTATACTCACGATGTGCCGAAGACAGCTGACACAATGCTGGCCCTATATGCAGACGACACTGCTATAGCCGCCAAGCATAGACGACCCGAGATCATCCGTAGGAGATTACAGGATGAACTGGACCACATTCAGGACTGGTGCGTGAAATGGAAAATCCGCATCAACGTCCAGAAGACGCAGGCAATCTTCATTCAACGAAGATGGATTGCAAGACCTCTCGAAGCATCCATCTTCGACGAAGATATCCAGTGGAGCGACAATGTCAAATATCTGGGGATCGTATTTGACAAGTCCCTCACCTGGAAAGCGCACATAGAAGCTGTCATCGCAAAGACCAGAGCAGCCATGGCTCAACTCTATCCATTACTGGGTAGACACAGCCAGATGCCGCTAGCGACCAAGCTACGGCTGATCAAGGCCATCGCCAGACCTCAGCTCGCTTACGCCTCCGCGGTCTGGGGGTACGCTGCCCCCTGCTACCGCAAGCGACTTGCTGCTCTAGAGATGAAGCTACTCCGGATCGCCACCAGTGCACCATCCTATGTAAGAAACTCAACCTTGCGTAGAGACCTGCACTGGGACACCATCCACGAGTACATGAGGAAAAAAGCGGAGAAGACCTTCAAGAAAGCTCAGGACCACCCGAACGAGCAGCTACGATTCCTCATGAACTACGATCCGGACGAGAGGCCTCGCAACCGCAGAACCAGGTACCCCAGACCAAGGTCCCAGTTGGCACCCGCTAACTGGAACCTTGACTAGGAGACTAGGAGGACCCGCGGTTGCTACCCTCCCCCCCACGGCGTGGATGCAGAGGACCAGGAACCACCGGGACCAGGACCAGGACCCGCCACGACCAGGACCCACCAGGACCAGGACCCTTCAGGACCAGGACCAGGAACAACATATTGGTAAGAGGACTTGAAACTCTTGATTTTTCGAAAACAAGAGTTTCAAGAGAACCAGCAGACCCTCTATCGATGATCGCTTAACGACATCGATAGAATGTGCGAGGTAAAGGGAACCAACCCGGCGTTCCCAGAGACTGAAACACATGAGTAGACGTTGTAGCAGACCGCAGGTCACGCACAACACATGGCCTACCGAGACGCTGATGAGTCGGGCCACGCGGAGGTTTAGGGTTTAGTGGGTATTAGGTGCTCTCCTCAAGACCCTGGAGTCCCACACACGCCGTAGCTCGGGCTATGGTATGGTGCGTAAATGCATTCCCCCCTCACCAAAAAAAAAAAAAAAAAATACCGTGGGCGAGTCTGCTCCTTCGTTTACAACAGTAAAATATTGGGTAGTAGAGTTTAAACGAGGCCGCATGAGCTGCCAAGACGCAGTGGTCGACCAAATGAGGTGACGACTCCAGAAATGGTGAAGAAAATTTACAAAGCGGTACTGAATGATCGTCGACTGAAAGTGCGCGAGCTAGCAGACATAGTAGGCATTTCAAAAGGTGCGGTTCATCGCATATTATCTGAAAATTTGGACATGAGAAAGCTGTGTGCAAGATGGGTGCCGCGATTGCTCACAATCGGGCAAAATCAGTGTCGTGAAGATGTTTCAATTGAGTGTTTAGCGAAGTTTCACAGCAACAAAAGCAGAATTTTTGCGTCGTTTCATAACCATGGATAAAACATGGGTCCATCACTTCACACCCGACACAAAAGAACAATCAAAACGATGGACTCGAAAGGGACAACCGGCTTTAAAGAAGGCGAAGACCGTTTCATCTGCAAGCAAGGTTATGGCGTCGGTTTTTTGGGATGCGCGTGGGATAATTTTCATTGACTATCTTGAAAAACGTAAAACTATCAAGCAAAAACGGCCGCATTTGGTTAAGAAGAAAGTGTTGTTTCATCAAGACAATGCACCAGCTCACAAATCCGTTATTGCAATGGCCAAAATTGACGAATTAAGTTTCATGCACCCTATTCACCAGATTTAACCACCTCGGAATATTTTGTTTAAAAAAAAAAAAATGGCTCGGTGGTCAAAGATTTTCCAACAATGAAGAAAGTGATGTCGGCAGTTAAAGGCTATTTTGAGGCGCAAGACAGTTCTTATTATAAAAAGGGTATAGAACTTATTGAACATCGCTGGAAGAAGTGTATAGAGCTCAAAGGAGATTATGTTGAAAAATAAATAAATTTTTTTACAAAATTTTTGTTTTCTCCGTTGGGTCGGGTACTTCTAGGACCTCCCTCGTACGTCTGTTGAGAGGAGCGCGTTTCTGTGCCCTCGTATAAAATCCGTTGCAAGTACCCGTACTTCTAAGGATCAATATCATACCCTCAGCTCAAAGTTGTGGTTCATAGTTGACCTGAGATATCATGCCTAGGTACACAGATAGGAATTGGACTATATCCGTGATTTCGGATGACACGTAAGGACGTCGTGGAGCGAACAGGAAAAAACGACGTCGGTGGGGGGCTTAACACTGATGATTTGTTATAAATTGACATTCAGCGTACTAGGTATGAATCAATCAACTGAATAAACAAAGAAACGTCATCTAGTATTGTTGCGTTGCATCTCGGATGATTTAACATTGGTTTATTTCCATTCCCAAACCACATTATTATCAAAACATTATCCCCAAACGCATGTTTATCTCCATCTGTCGATAAGCCCTGTCTGATAATATTTGGTTCCACAATATGATTATTCTCACTAGAACATGTGTGGACTCTGCATTATTTTCTCCGTAATCGTCTATTATGGTATTATTAATCCCCTCTTTTCCGTATTCAATAATCCGACGCCCATTATTTTGTAGCCCTTGAAACTGATGTCGGTAATAGCAGCGTCTTCATCACCAAAGGAAACTGGCTCTAACGAAGGAGCAGACCTACTGAAGCAACTGCTGGAATGTGTAAAGGAATGCCAGAAAAGATACGGTGGTAAAACGGAACTTGCCACTGAATTTGATAGTTGTGTTGCTGGATTGTGTTTGTCTTTGGAAGCAATTTTCCTCCATGGATTGAAACCTAAGCCATTGAATGCTGAGAATGCTTCATCTGCTTTAAAACAAGTTTCAGGCATTGTTGCTCAAAGCTTACATATTGCTAATGAAAGTCCATGTAAGGTTTTCACAATACTTTGTCATATCGACCCCTGCAACGAAGACTATAGTATGTAAAAAATCCTTGCTACTGATGAGGGCTAAAGAGCCCTTTCTGCGATTGGTCGAGGATTAATTAGTTTTAAATTAAATGTAAAATCAGGAAATTGGAACAAAGACGATTGTGGTAAAAAGTTGAAAATGTATAAGATAAGTGCCTTGTGAAATGACATATAAGTGTGACTATGCTGATGATTTCCCAATAGTAACGTTGATTATTTATCAGAGAATGAGACTGCAAAACAATACGCTTCAGGAGCTACCTTTGTTCTATACAAGCTTGCTTCCAGTTGATCCTAGAAAATTAAATCGGTTATTAGACCTATGTAAATCAAAAGCAAAGTCTTTCTAGCATTTAGCAAGATTTATAAAAGAAATTGTCATTTTTGCTAGGTTTGTATAGTAATACCATTTATAACCTAAGTACAAGAATTACTGCAACGTGCAACATATTTTTGATGAGATCATCATTTTTCTGACCACGAAATCCATCAGAAAATCTTCTAATGCCTATATCTCAGTTCAACCAAAACTGAGTTACAATAGTCTTCCTTGCAGGGGTCGATATGCTTAGCATATTAAATCAACATAGCTTCAAAATGATGTGTCTACTCTATAATATGCATTATTTTGGTGGAACAGTCTTAAATGAGGTCACAAATGCTTAAAATAGTTGAATTGGTGATCTATTTTTGCTTATATTTAAAGCACAATCAGAAACTTAAGTTAAACAGGCTATTAAGTTGCATTATGTGATCCATTTATGGATTTAACTTTTGCTTAGTGTGTTATAAAGTAATGTGAATAAATTATTGTTATTTGTATCACATATCTTGACATACATTTGCATGTCTGTAATTTGGACCTTACTACTATAACATTTCATTTGATGATAATTCTGATAAATAGCATTACGAGCTATACTGTACCCCCAACAATCCACAATCAAATATCAGTGTATTAAAAAATGAAAGTTGTGTTTACCTTCAGGCACCTGTATTTTTAATTTGCATGCGTTGTTATAGATACTTATTAACTCAGTATATCAATAACTTTATATTATCTACCAAAAATTTCACAAATTAGTTTCAAAATCAGAAATATTGAGAAATGCTTAATATTTTGCATTTTGAGGAAATATCTCAATCTCTGAGGGTTTTTAAACATGTAATGTTGTAACAGTAATGACACCTTTTTTATTATCATTAAAAGAGACAACATTCTTGCTTTCTTTTTGTAGCATTCTGGCCATTTGTTAATAAACACTTGACAAAACATGAGCAAGAGAGGTTTGAAGCTCTAAAGCAAATTTGGACTGACAGTGGCAGAGGAAAGGCTTGGATCAGGTCTGCATTGAATGAGAAGTCTTTAGAAAGGTATATAGAGCCTACCCTCACTTCCTTGAGCTTACAATTATTTATATTTACATTTTTTGGGTACAAATATGAAAGACAACATGATATTATGGATTAATTTATTTTAGGAATTACCTTGATTCATAATAATGTAAAGAATAAACCAGTTAAGTAATAAATTAAAATATCATTGATTCCGCAATAAGATATGTTACCATTGTTTTTGTAATTTTAAAGTACTATACAGTGATTTATAATGCCTGATCAATATTTGAATGAACGTGAAACATTGACCAAACATAAAAAAATTAAAGACAAGGATGAAAAACCTTCATGATTGTTGTATAGGAGTTTGGCTACTAGTCCATGTCTTTGACAATAAATATATGAGAACTATTTAATGTATTTTGGTTGTTGTGTCTTTATAGTTTCTGTAAATCAGTCCAGTAGCAATATTATAATCTAATCTAAAAAAAAAATCCGCAATATTTGTCCCTTTCATGAGGCAAACTTAAATATTCAAATTTGTATGAAATTGTGATGTAAATTATTACTTTAGACAAAGGAGAAACATCCTGGTATTTTCTATAAATTGGTGTATTGAGGGCGTATTTGCAACGAAAAAAATGAAGAAGAATTAAAACCTGATTTTGAAGTCCTTCTGAGGATTCTGATCACTTTCCAAAAATTTCTAGAGAGACTGACAGGAATTCATTTTGCTTATTTTTGTTAGGTTGACTTTTATAAAATTAATCCCATAGTTCATGATCATACTTCACTTGGTTTATACTATACTTGTGAAGTAGCAAATATTTGGAAAGAGGCGCAAGCATTTTGAGCTCGAATTCTAGATGTAATATTGGTAAGAACCCATTTCGACATCATTGGTCCGATCGCAACCAATAGCAAGCGTTTTACTTATCAGTGACGCATAATGCGTCAATGCAAAACGATATAACATTAGTACGCACTTTCTTATACAGGGTGTTTCACAACTTATCTGACAAATTTTACCCACATATGCACTGTTACAACAGAAGTTGTAATAAAAGTCCTACAGAAATTAAATTATAAACCTGAGTTTATTGAAAGATAAATCTGTATTTTGCGTTCATCGTCGTGATATTAGAACATGCATTAACGTGTAAATAAGGTTTAATCTGTATCGTAGGTGATCTGGATGACGAACGGTCGATTTTTTGCGATTGGTATAGTATAAGTACCATCAACATTTATTATATCATTCAATAATATTATTTCTCATGGTTATGTGAAGTAATTACGTTCTACTATGAGTAAATACATAGAACCTAAGTACTTTGCATATCGTTAAAACGTTTAATTCCCTTTCGTAGGTACTTCCACACAGTTTTGAGCAATCAAGAGATACTAAAAGAACATTATGAAACCTGGGCAATATTACGAGATGATGAGAAAAACAGCATGCTGCCTAACATGGCAGCAGGTCTAGCATCAATACTGTTTGCAATAAGTATTGACAAACCTGAACTAAATAGCGGTATAGCACGTAGACCTGCAGCATTGAAGGCTAAAGCAGAACCTATAATTGAAGCTCCCATACCAGGTTATTGTCAAATTTAATTTTACAGATAAATTTGAAATCCCTAGATCCTAGAAGATGCCCAATCTCATGCTGTATTTGGATGTTGAAAAAGCTTCCATTTATGCCATACTCCGCTCACGTGAAAGTAGTGTAAAGTATATACGTCTTTAGTTTTGCGTTAGTGTGAAGGAGATTGGTACTACTAATTTAAGATTAAACTTGAGTAGTTAGCGGTAAATAGTTTGGCACTCCGTAGGAAAAGAAAAAGCTATTGATGTTTTTAAAAAGTCTGGGTAAACACCTGTGTTAGAGATATTTATGGGTTATTTTTACGCAGACACAGGTATCTTCTAGAGAAATACGTTAACCAATGCTTCAAGAACAAACCCTCGTAGAAAGACCACATAATAAGAGGACAGTTAATATTTATTTATTGTTGTTTTCTAGATAAAAAGGAAAGTGTGAAGCCCAAGAAAAAAAGAAAAGTCGCTAGACAATTGATATCCTTTGACGATGACGATAGTGCCATCTCAACTAGCGTTCCGTCAAGCTCCAGCAGTACCACTTCTGACAGCTTTTCACTAGAGTACACAAAAAGTATCAAGGCAAAACCTAAACGAATGAGTAGAAAAAAAATGGAACAGCCTACCGAAACGCCGTCAGTGGAAATAAGGGAACGGAAGCTGTCAATAGAAAATAGTGGATCAAGGGAGAAGTACTATTCTACTGTCGAGTCTTTGACGCCTGTCACTCAGGAGGAGATCGGGGAGCTGAGGCCAGTGTCTGTGGAAATTAATGAAAATTTTTTAGCCGTACGTATTTTTGTCTTGATACAGGTTGCAGGAGCATAACCTGGCAGTTCCAAAATCGGATTAATAAAGCTCCCCGTGCCGTGGTATTTAGGCTTTTGTCTGCACGGCTGCTTCGGTATAAAAAACGACCTTTAGGAATTCCATCGATATTTATCAGCGAAATTCCAATCAAATTAACTTCAGACATAGATACCAATACCATACCTTTTATTTAGTTAACTAGGTTTAGTTAACTACGCGTAAGTAATAAGTATAAAAGCATTCTTAAATTTAAATTAATAGAATTTAGTTAACTAGGTTCAGTTAACTAAATTTGGTTAATTAAATTTAGTACGAGTAAGTAATAAGTATAAAAGCATTCTTAAATTTAAACTAATATTATTAACTAGGTTTAGTTAACTTAATTTAGTTAATCAAATTTAGTACGCGAACGTAATAAGTTTAACAGCGTTTATAAATTTAAATTAATAGTATTGGTTAAATAGGTTTAGTTAACTAAATTTAGTTGATTAAACTTAGTATGCTTAAGTAATAAGTATAAAAGCGTTTTTAAATTTAAACTAATGGTATTAATTAACTAGGTTTAGTTAACTTAATTTAGTTAATCAAATTTAGTACGCGAACGTAATAAGTTTAACAGCGTTCTTAAATTTAAATTAATAGTATTAGTTAACTAAATTTTTCAGCCGTACGTATTTTGTCTTGATACAGGTTGCAGGAGCATAATCTGGCAATTCCAAAATCGGATTAATAAAGCTCCCCGTGTCGTGGTATTTAGGCTTTTGTCTGCGCGGCTGCTTCGGTATAAAAAACGACCTTTAGAAATTCCATCGATATTTATCAGCGAAATCCCAAACAAATCAACTTCAGACATAGATACCAATACCATACCGTTTATTTAGTTAACTAGGTTTAGTTAACTACGCGTAAGTAATAAGTATAAAAGCGTTCTTAAATTTAAATTAATAAAATTTAGTTAACTAGGTTCAGTTAACTAAATTTGGTTAATTAAATTTAGTACGAGTAAGTAATAAGTATAAAGGCGTACTTAAATTTAAACTAATAGTATTAGTTAACTAGGTTTAGTTAACTTAATTTAGTTAATCAAATTTAGTACGCGAACGTAATAAGTTTAACAGCGTTCTTAAATTTAAATTAATAGTATTAGTTAACTAAATTTAGTTAATTAAATTTAGTACGCGTAAGTAATAAATACAAAAGCGTTCATAAATTTAAATTAATAGTATTAGTTAACTAGGCTTAGTTAACATTAGTTAACTAGGCTTAGTTAACTGAATTCAATTAATTAAATTTAGCACGCGTAAGTAATAAGTATGAAAGCGTTTTTAAATTTAAATTAATAGTATTGGCTAACTAGGTTTAGTTAACTAAATTTAGTTGATTAAACTTAGTACGCTTAAGTAATAAGTATAAAAGCGTTCTTAAATTTGAAATAATAGGATTTAGTTAACTAGGTTTAGTTAACTAAATTTAGTTAAATAAATTTAGTACGAGTAAGTAATATGTATAAAAGTGTTCTTAAATTTAAACTAATAGTATTAGTTAACTAGGTTTAGTTAACTTAATTTAGTTAATCAAATTTAGTACGCGTACGTAATAAGTTGAACAGCGTTATTAAATTTAAATTAATAGTATTAGTTAACTAAATTTAGCTAATTAAATTTGGTACGCGTAAGCAATAAGTACAAAAGCGTTCATAAATTTAAATTAATAGTATTAGTTAACTAGGCTTAGTTAACTGAATACATTTAATTAAATTTGGTACGCGTAAGTAATAAGTATAAAATCGTTTTTAAATTTAAATTAATAGTATTGCTTAACTAGGTTTAGTTAACTAAATTTAGTTGATTAAACTTAATACGCTTAAGTAATAAGTATAAAAGCGTTCTTAAATTTGAAATAATAGGATTTAGTTAATTAAATTTAGTACGCGTAAGTAATAAGTATAAAAACGTACCTAAATTTAAAGTAATGTTATTAGTTAACTAAATTTAGTTGATTCAACTTAGTACGCTTAAGTATAATAAGTATAAAAGCGTTCTTAAATTTGAATTAATAGGATTCAGTTAACTAGGTTTAGTTAACTAAGTCTACTTAATTAAATTTAGTACGCGTAAGTAATAAGTATAAAAGCGTTCTTAAATTTGAAATAATCGGATTTAGTTAACTAGGTTTAGTTAACTAAGCCTAGTTAACTAAATTTAGTTAATTAAATTTAGTACGCGTAAGTAATAAGTATAAAAACGTACTTAAATTTAAATTAATGTAATTAGTTAACTAGGTTTTGTTAACTAAATTTAGTTGATTCAACTTAGTACGCTTAAGTATAATAAGTATAAAAGCGTTCTTAAATTTGAATTAATAGGATTCAGTTAACTAGGTTTAGTTAACTAAGTCTACTTAATTAAATTTAGTACGCGTAAGTAATAAGTATAAAAGCGTTCTTAAAATTAAATTAATGGTATTAGTTAACTACGCTTAGCTAACTAAATTCAATTAATTGAATTCAGTACGCGTAAGTAATAAGTATAATAGCGTTTTTAAATTTAAATTAATGGTATTGGTTAACTAGGTGTAGTTAACTAAATTTAGTTGATTAAACTTAATACGCTTAAGTAATAAGTATAAAAGCGTTCTTAAATTTGAAATAATAGGATTTAGTTAACTAGGTTTAGTTAACTAAGCCTAGTTAACTAAATTTAGTTAATTAAATTTAATACGCGTAATTAATAAGTATAAAAGCGTTCTTAAAATTAAATCAATGGTATTAGTTAACTAGGCTTAGCTAACTAAATTCAACTAATTAAATTCAGTACGCTTAAGTAATAAGTATAAAAGTGTTCTTAAATTTAAACTAATAGTTTTAGTTAACTAGGTTTAGTTAACTTAATTTAGTTAATTAAACTTAGTACGCGTAAGTAATAAGTACAAAAACGTTCTTAAATTTAAATTAATAATATTAGTTAACTAGGCTTAGTTAACTGAATTCAATTAATTAAATTTAGTACCCGTAAGTAATAAGTATAAAAGCGTTCTCAAATTTGAAATGATAGGATTTTGTTAACTAGGTTTAGTTAACTAAGATTAGTTAACTAAATTTAGTTAATTAAATTTAATACGCGTAATTAATTAGTATAAAAGCGTTCTTAAAATTAAATTAATGGTATTAGTTAACTAGGCTTAGCTAACTAAATTCAATTAATTAAATTCAGTACGCGTAAGTAAAAAGTATAAAAGCGTTTTTAAATTTAAATTAATAGTATTGGTTAACTAGGTTCAGTTAACTAAATTTAGTTGATTAAACTTAGTACGCTTAACTAATAAGTGTAATAGCGTTCTTAAATTTGAATTAATAAGATTTAGTTAACTGGGTTTAGTTAACTAAGTCTACTTAATTAAATTTAGTACGCGTAAGTCATAAGTATAAAAGCGTTCTTAAATTTAAATAAATAGTATTAGTTAACTAGGCTTAATTAACTAAATTTAGTTAATTAAATTTAGTAAGCGTAAGTAAAAAAGCGTGCTTAAATTTAAATTAATAGTATTAGTTAACAAACTAGGGTTAGTTCACTAAATTTAGTTAATTAAATTTAGTACGCGTAGGTAATAAGTATAAAAGCGTTCTTAAACTTAACGTAATAGAATTCAGAAATTTGAACTTTTAGATAGATTATATTTTTAGACTGGTGACAGAGCCGACGATGCTGTCGAGGTACCGTCAGACATCAGTGCCGTTCTGACTGCGGTTGAAGAGAAAAACAAGGAAGAATTGGAAAGAAAAGAGGAAAAAATACAGTTATTGTCAAAGGAAAATGAAGGGTTAAAAGAGCAAGTTAAAAAATATATGAGTGCAATCCAGATGTTGAGGAGAGATGACGAGGGGTTGAACAAGGCATTAGAGGGGTTGCAGATTGAGGGGCAACCGGATTACAAGTCGGAGGCTAGATTCTTTGAACAAAAACTAATACAGGTAAGCCTTGTTAAACGAATGATCAACATATTCCACTAAGGCTCGATTCTGCTATTGTTGAAGCAGCTAGTACAAATATTTAGAAAAAAAAATTGGATATTTTTTATGGTGTTTCGATTTCTAGTAGAGATTTCTGATGTAGCTTGTATTTTTTGATAAAATTCGAGAGACATTACAATCTAATAACATTGAGATATGGTTTTGGTTGGTCATGTTTTCATCATTATACAGGGTGTTTCAGTTTATTGTTGCATAACTTTAAGATTCGATAGGACTTTTAAAACATGGGTCGAAAAATGCGTGGCTTCCGAAATACAGGGTGTTTAAATTTAGTTCCTAAAATAGTTTTTTTTTAAATATTTCGAACAATATTTGATGTATAACAGTGAAAATTGGTGTACAAGGATTGGTACGACAAAACGAACCATGGGTATAGTTTTACTGTAGCCGCTAGAGGGCGCTCTCTACTGTACCTGTTGTGTATTAAAATGACCGAAAATTTTTTCTTAGTGCAATTTTTTGCTCTTTGAATAAAAAAACTGATTCTTCGCACTTTTCAACATAAAAAACCTCTCTTGTGAATTTTCGTTATAGTTAGCCGTTTTTGAGATATTTCGATTTTTAAAGTTCGATGCATTTTTAATTATTTATGATAAAATAACGTTAAAAAGTCAGTATCTCGATAATTTTCAGAAGTAGGCTGTGCCTGCAAATATTTTTGAAATTGAAAGCAGAATAAGGTTAAACGTCAATTAGTTGACAGTTAGTTTTGTTGTCTGTTGAAACCTGAAACGTTTTTTTGCAATTGTGAATGCACGAAATTTAGTTTCTTTTACCTGTTTTATAAAAATGCCATTTTTATTCTCCAATCAAGAGTTAGCGGATACTCATTTTGTGTATGACCTTATAAATGGAAACGCAGCAGAAGCAGCCAGAGAATACTCACGAAGATTTCCAAACACACGACATCCAACTCGCTCAGTATTTGTAAGAGTGCATCGCCAAATAATTGAAAATGGTTTTGGAAATCTCCAAAGGGATCAAAACATAAATGTTCGTCAGCGCAGATTTACCCGTATGATTCTGCGTGAGTTTGATAGAGATCCGACCACAAGTGTTAGGAGAGTTTCTGGTGCCTTGGGAATTTCAGCAAGCCATGTTCACCGTGTTCTTAGAAATGACCATAGACGTCCTTACCATTTGCAACCTGTGCAAGGACTACAGCCAGGAGACGGAGAGCGAAGAATAACATTTTGTCAGTGGATTCTTGATAGAACTGATAATAATAGAGAGTTTTTAAGTAACGTTTTATGGACCGATGAGTCATGCTTCACTAGACGTGGAGTGGTAAATTTTCATAATCAACATATTTGGTCGCATGAAAATCCGCATGCAGTTCGGGAAAGAAATTTTCACCATGAATTTAGTGTGAACGTGTGGATTGGTATCTACCGTAATCGACTATTTGGACCCTACCTTTTGCCTGCAAGGTTAAATGCTGCGACCTTCTTGGAATTTTTAAAGGCTGAACATGCAAATATGTGGGAGGATGTTATGTTAGATTTAAGAAGATTGGCCTATGGTTGTCCAGCTCATTATTCGAGAATAGTTAGAAACTGGCTGGACGAAAATTATCCAGAAAGATGGATCGATTAGATGGATTAGATTTCTTTGTGTGGGGATTTCTAAAAGAAAAAGTGTACCAGACTCCCGTAACCAGAAGAGATATGCTAATAGATAGAATCAGGAATGCATGTGATGAAATAAGGCCTTATTTGAATAATGCTAAACCATGTTCGATCATTCGTAGATGTGAATTGTGATTTTGTATCTTTGTCCTAACTATCCAATAGCATTTTAGTTGTAAATGATTAATTTAATTTGTTAAAAATAATATTGGAAAATTAAACAAATTAATATTCTGGTTTTTTGTGTTTATTTGGAGTTAGGAATTATTGCTGTGTTTAAAAACACAATCTAAACGATCATCTTAATTACTTGTAATGCCCAAATCGAAAATGTAAAAAAATATTATTTTCCCATAAATAATTAAAAATGCCTCGAACCTGAAAAATCGAGATATCTCAAAAACGGCTAACTATAACGAAAACCCACAGGAGAGCTTTTTTATGCAGATAAGCGCGAATAATAAGTTTTTTTATTCAAAAAGCAAAAAATTGCACTAAGAAAAATTTTTCGGTCATTTTAATACACTACAGGTACAGTAGAGAGCGCCCTCTAGCGGCTACAGTAAAACTATGCCCATGGTTCGTTTTGTCGTACCAAAAAACCCTTGTATACAAATTTTCACTGTTATACATCAAATATCGTTCGAAATAGTTTAAAAAAACTATTTTAGAAAGTAAATTTAAACACCCTGTATTTCGTAAGCCACGCATTTTTCGACCCATGTTTATATATATATATATATATATATATATTATGCATTAATTTTAAAAGTTCTATCGAATCTTAAAGTTATGCAACAATAAACTGAAACACCCTGTATATCAGTTAATGTTTTTAGGTTGCCGATATGCACGCGGAATTGATGGATTTTAACGTTATGCTGCAACAGACTATTTTTCAAAAAGATCAGATGATAGAGAAGCTTAAAAAGGAGCTCGAAATACTCAGAGGTCCCGTACCTGAAATGAGAATAGGAGAATCAAGTAGTGTTCATGTCTGGATACCTTCCGCATTTCTTACTGGTAAATACCGATATACTCTACTTAGCTGGCCGATACGACCACTCCTTTGTGTCCATAGAGTATTGAGATTAAGGGACAGTCTACCTCAGAAGGCTTTTCCCAGTTCTAATAATTTGTAGCAGTGTTGCAAATTGAATTCATTCGATGAAATGTCCAGGTGGTTGAGGTTTTTGTAATTTTAGGTACTGGTTCGAATTCGCATCATGTGTATCAAATATACCTAAAAGTAGGAAATGATGAATGGAATATTTACAGACGATATGCTCAATTCCATGCTCTACACACCGATCTGAAAAAGTTAGATCCTGCTGTAGCAGCATTTGATTTTCCTCCTAAGAAAAGTATAGGTAAAAAGGTTAGTCCTGGTTTCAATTATTACAAACTATGTGCTTTTTTTGGCACGTAGATTTTCTCTACAAGTTCATTCAACCGACAAATTCTCAGCCAAGAGGCAACCTAGCATGTTATCGAAGCTGCAGAAATTACTGTTCAAGTAAATTCTATTCATTTATAGGACTCTGCATTAGTTGAAGATAGAAGAAAAAGATTGCAAGTGTATCTCCGACGAGTTTTGAGTCACTGGCCAGAACTGAAGCATTGCAATAATAGATTTTTATTAGAACAGCATTTAGCGTTTTTCAAGTAAGTAAGAAATTAGTTCCGTTATCCATTATTTGTTCAATACATTAAGAAATTCGTTCCGTTATCCATTATTTGATCACTACATTGGTCGAAAAACACTGGTAAGATTGCCACCAATGAGTAGTTTTGCTAATCCTGGTACCACAGACTCATTTTTCTCATTATTTTTAGGGTATTCATTTTTAGGATTTTTTTTCATAAATTACGTAGGTTTTCATTTTTTGGGACGTTTCCACAAAGACATATTAAATTGTCCCTAAATCGAAAATTAAATATCATAGTGGGTATGACTATACTTTAGCGCATATCTCAAATACTTCATTTCTTACTTTAAAATGAAAGATTAGGACTTTTACGAAAATATCATTTTTTCTTTAAGGAACCGTCTGCTTGCTATTTTATAGGACTTCGAAGTTTGCATTTTTGATGGTAATACTCGAGAATAGAATACTGTTTTATATGCTGTCTTTTTTTCATTTTTGTACAAAAGGAAAATTATAAGAATATGACATACACTGTATAGTACTAAGGAAAATAGATGTGAAACTGTAAAAAATCGTTGTTTTTGGCAAAAAAAAAGGTTCAAAACCAGACGTAAATGATAGTATTTACTTTGTAAACTGTGTAGAGGTGTTGTTTTGTGATTTTTTAATATCTTCCTGAAATTTCTGAACCATTTTTTTCGCGAATTTTTAATGAGATCCAAGTTTTTGCGTTTATAAGAAACATTTGAAAGTACAAACAATTCTCAATGGCAATTTTATACCGCTCATTTCTTGACAGACAAGATAAATGAGGTTCATTGTTGCCAAGTTGTACATTTTTTAGAAGAAATGCGTAATTAGAAATGAGGTTATTTGCAAAACGAAAGTCTTAATTTATTGTAAATGGCTTGTTTTACGAAAAGTTGACCCAATATTTACCGAAAACTGGATGAAATAATAAACAGTTTGTGTGTAAACAGTGGAAAATGCACCAACGGCTCGCGTGACATAAAAATACGAAAGGTACCAGCGGTCATTGCTTATAAAAATAAAGATCAACGATCATTTCATCAAATCATCAAAAAACTTGCAATGTTCTTTGGTATGTTTTCGTTATTTAGTGATTTGCAACAGCTACTTTTTCAGTTATTTCTCATATACACATATACACATTTATTTCTCATATCACATTTAATTAGGTACATTTTGTAACATCAGCTTCATTTTAAATAATTCTTCAAGTACATACATACAAAAAGTAAATAGATTATAACTATAATATAGGAAAAATATTAACCGAAGTCCTTTTGTGAAAGGCATAATGTATTCTTCAAAAAAGTCTCTTTAGCTAACGCTATCGTAGGACACAAGGTGGATTTAGTACAGTAAAACCTGCCGGCCACACCTCCAAATCGCATTTTCATGACAGTCCTGTGCCGATTGCACATTTTTGCGCTAGTATACAGGGTGTCCCAGAAGTCGACGTCAAGCCGAAACCGGGTGATAGGCAAAGTCATAACAGCTATCAGAAAAATATTTGAAAAAATTTTATGTATGTGTTTTGAAAATTATAGGTCTTTGACAAAAATATAGAAATTTCACACCCTACGGCAGTCTGTCAACTCCTGTTACTACAAATATTAACTTTTTTTGGATTTTATTTTTACAATGTAATGATGAATAATGCATCTTCAAACTGGTGTCTCAACCCTACTGCCAACTTTTATCGTTCAGGAAAAATTGCCACTTATTTCCCAACCAAGTATTCCAAAGTAAAACTTTGCTCAACTTTAACTGGCTGTACTGGAAAAAAATGTACTACGAGAGTTTGGCAAGTAACCTTAAAAGTTGGCGCATTTTCTTTTACAGTTCCCCAGTAAAAAAAATCTAAAGGATTCAAATCTGGTGACCGGGCTGGCCACGGTATTGTACCAGACCGCCCTATCCATCTGCCTGGAAAGTTTTGATCGAGATACTCTCTCACTGAGAGTGCATAGTGCGCTGGGCAGCCATCATGCTGAAACCACATGTCCCTGTAAATACTCAGTGGCACGTCCTCCAATAAATTTTCTAAATGATTTTGCAAAAAACCTAAATAAACCTCAGCAGTCAAAGTCTCTGGGAACTCAAACGGACCGATTATTTTACCATTTAAAATTCCTGTCCAATGGTTTATCTTGAAGCGATATTGAGATTTATCTTCTCTCATCAAATGTGGGTTTGCTACGTGCCACTCGTGTAAGTTATGCAGGTTCATGTACCCATCTATCTTAAATGTGGTCTCATCCGACCATAGAATTTTTTCAAAGAACTGTGGATTTTTCCTGTGTCTTTCTAACATTGTGCGACAAAAAGCAACTCGGGGCTCATAATCCCGGGGCAGAAGAGCTTGAACACGCTGTACGTGGTATGGATGTATGTATGTTTTTAGTTCTATTGCACGCACTGAAGTACTCGGGTCTTCTTCGACAGCTCCTAGCACCACGTCTTCGTAAGGAAGGAAAGATCTTCCCTCACCGTGTGATTGGTTTGGTAGTTGGCCCTCTGAGAACAGTAAGCGGTGCACATTTGTGAACACTCGATGATCTGGATGACGAGCTGCATTCGGTTACATCTCACAGTAAAGTCTCGCTGCAGCACTAGCGTTGCATCTGCATTCCCCATAAATGAGGTGCATGTTACCATATTCTTGTACGGTGTACACGGACATAGCGGCACTGCACAATCACACTATCAAAGATAGTCTAAGGAAAGCAAATGTTGTTTTGAAGAGCAATTAAACAGTCCAAATCCAAATCACAAGCGATCAACAGTCCAGTTCACGAATCCAAACTTAGTAACAGTACGAAATCAACAAGCACGAACATGTAAAAATGCGCAGTAAACGAAGGAGTACTGATCGGTATCAAAGTGTGCAATAGCAAGTAAGTGATGTGCTTCATCCATACCACATACAGCGTGTTCAACCTCTCCTGCCCCGGAATAATGAGCCCCGACTTGCTTTTCGTCGCACAATGTTAGAAAGACACAGGAAAGATCCACAGTTCTTTGAAAAAATTTTATGGTCGGATGAGACCACATTTAAGAAAGATGGGTACATGAACCTGCAGAACTTACACGAGTGGCACGTAGCAAACCCACATTTGATGAGAGAAGATAAATCTCAATATCGCTTCAAGATAAACCATTGGACAGGAATTTTAAATGGTAAAATAATCGGTCCGTTTGAGTTCCCAGAGACTTTGACTGCTGAGGTTTATTTAGGTTTTTTGCAAAATCATTTAGAAAATTTATTGGAGGACGTGCCACTGAGTATTTACAGTGACATGTGGTTTCAGCATGATGGCTGCCCAGCGCACTATGCACTCTCAGTGAGAGAGTATCTCGATCAAAACTTTCCAGGCAGATGGATAGGGCGGTCTGGTACAATACCGTGGCCAGCCCGGTCACCAGATTTGAATCCTTTAGATTTTTTTACTGGGGAACTGTAAAAGAAAAAGTGTATTTCAAGCCGATTCAAAATGTAGCTGAGCTACGGCAAAGACTATTGGAAGCAGCTGAGTTTGTTAATAACCGTGGATTCGCTCGTTTAATAACCCGATCTTTTTTAAGAAGATGTCGAGCCTGTATTGCGGCTGAAGGAAAACAGTTTGAGCATTTGCTGTAAAGGTAAATCATCAGCAGCAGCATTTTGACGCCCACTGCTGTGCAAACAGTTATCCTTAAGGGTCCTTGTGCGTTTTCATAATCGTTGTTTGATTAGGAAATTTTGAAAAATTTTCATCAGTTTTTCTTCAAATAAAAATTGTGCATAAGTTAACGAGTAATCTTCTAAGTGTTATACCATTTTGGAATCCTTATTAAATGAGCCAACTTTTAAGGTTACTTGCCAAACTCTCGTAGTACATTTTTTTCAAGTACAGCCAGTTAAAGTTGAGCAAAGTTTTACTTTGGAATACTTGGTTGGGAAATAAGTGGCAATTTGTCCTGAACGAGAAAAGTTGGCAATAAGGTTCAGACACCAGTTTGAAGATGCATTATTTATCATTACATTGTAAAAATAAAATCCAAAAAAAGTTAATATTTGTAGTAACAGGAGTTGACAGACTGCCGTAGGGTGTGAAATTTCTATATTTTTTTCAAAAACCTATAATTTTCAAAACACATACATAAAATTTTTTAAATATTTTTCTGATAGCTGTTATGACTTTGCCTATCACCCGGTTTTGGCTTTACGTCGACTTCTGGGATAGGTAAGAATTTGACAAACCAAATTAATGTATATTACTATCCATGATTTGGCAACATCGCAACTAGATGGAGAGAATATATGACAGAGACGGTGGTGTAGTGATGGGAATAATTATCTGAAATAAAAGAAATGACTACTTAACAATGAACTATTTTCATCATTAAAATAATGCAAACTTGCATTATTGCGATGAACAGTATCGCAGTAACTTACAGTGCACATTTTATTGATTTGATTTTGAACAATCTCTTGTATAAACAAGATGAAAATAGCTTATAAAGCGGTATTCTATACCACAGTACTAGCACCCAAAATGCAACTTTGAAGTTCTATAAAATAGCAAGCAGAGGGTTCCTTAAAGAAAAAAATGATATTTTCGTGCATGTTACAACCTAATATTTCATTTTAAAATAAGAAATGAAATATAATGTGTTAAGTAATCTAAATTCACAAGACCCTTAATGTTCCTTCTCACGTTGGGCAGAAACTACTGTAACCAAGAAACATTCTGAATCCAAAAATGATGTTTTCTGGACCTGAATAATATGTATATCATAAAGCACCATGTCGTATGTCACTCATTTCAGGACATTTTCCTTATTTCCTCCTATGACTCGGGAAATCGCAGAATATCTCTGATCTCCCTAAAACTCCCTTTTTCGACATTTCTGACCTTTCTGGTTACTTCAGTGCGCTTTAAGTGCCAAAAAATGAGAAACCAGACATTCCACACATTTTTCCTCTTGCTTAAATGACGCGTACAATTTTCGTGAGCCTAGAATTTCAAGTAGAGTTAAGTTATTGAGTAGACTACTGAGAAAGTCTACATGACCACACTTTTTTGCCGCAGTGATCTGCGTTCATTTAACATAACATCACTTCATCTACATTTCGGCGATTATCCTTTATTTTCAAAATATTAATTTTTAGAGATCAACGAGAAGATCAACGCGTGAAAAGTACATTTCCACCCACTGTTACAACAAGCAACTCATCAGGGCTGTAATGATGTATTTTTACTTTTCTTTTCACCAGTGAAGATATTTTTATTGTAATTCTACTTAACTAGTATTTATTTACGGGTTACCCAGAATGTACAGCATACAAGTATGTCATATGAGACGATTTTTTTGGTGCCTCACATGCAGAGGTTTGTAACGTGTTGAAAAGAATTCAAATGTACAGTTGAAGATAAATAATTGTGCATAGTAAGAGTATTTTTTTCCGGATTTGGCTGGGTGCTCCCATGCGGCACTTTGACGCTTGGTTTCGGGATCGTATTGAAAACACCACGTTCGTCACCAGTTACAATGATGTGAAAAAGTTTTTTTTTGCCTCTTTAACCCTCCACTGGTAACGCCACGAAACTTGGCACAACTGGTAACATCGCACAGTGTTTCGATCAGTACAAGATAGCTGGACAAAATTATTTAGCTGAACTTAATGTTTTTAATGATTTTATTAATTATTCTTATAAACATTTTAATCATTCTAAAGTTAAAGTGAAGAGTTTTTGGTACATTTAACTGGTCCTATTAAATAAAAATTAATTTAATGGTTAAATATGTAAACAAATATACGGTACACTTTATATACCAAATGTAAACTATTATTATAGTTATTAATCTAATTTTAATTACAATAACTTTAACTACCTAACTACGTACTAACTAGTTCCTAGCTAATCATCATCATCGCTCAACTCCTCTTCTGAGGAATCATTTTCAATGTAGTCTAATAAGCGAACATCACTATCGCGAGTCCTAATATTTCTATCTAAATTTGTAGGTGGTGGTAACAGTAAATCTAAAACTTCCGAAGGCAGATTACCATTGTTTTTTTTTGGTAACTTCTCTGAGGCTGTTAATTACAGGGTCAGATGTGATTAATAACATATTTAGTAAATCTCTATTCGTGGCAATGCGTGATCGCTTACGCGTATTATGTTCTCGGAATCTCCTGACATCTTTATTGCGGGCTTCCTGTGCTTTTTCAGAAAGCTGCCCGATTGGCAGGAGAGCCGATTGTATAATATCGGTACCATGCACCAAAATTTTGTGTACAGTAGCAGGCATGTAATACCACGTATAGAGACTTAAATACAGTTTTCTTACGTCCTGTGTTAGTTTTACAAATTTGTCTATATTTATGTCATAGCCAGATGATAAAGCTCTAAGTAAGGTGTTAAACTTTTTTATAAGGCTCACATCTAGTCCTGTAATCTCTGCACTTAACTCGGGTTTCCCAAAAAATCTACGAGCAGTATTTCCGTCATTTGTGTTGCCATAGCCTGGTTTTGGTTTATCTACAATTAAACCCATCTCGTTCTTAAATCGATTCTGAATCGTAATGGAACGTTGTTTTACATTAGTTTTATCAACCGAATCTCGTAATTGCCATTTTTTAACTTCAAGACGATAACTTATGTGAAGCAGTCATTGGACATTACACATTTCTTCATCTCCTTGCATATTACCGAACTTTCACTAGCGTTCTTAATTACGGTAGCCAAGCCTCTGTAGCCAGAAAGTCGTGCTGATATTTCCGCGGCAGAGATTAATTCGGATGTACTCCGCGAAAGTTTTTGTTCCATTCGTCATTTGTTATTAGCCAAGTAAGCAGTTGTCTGCATCCTTTAGAGAGCTGTCTGGATTTGTATTCAAGATAAGGATTTACGTATTCATTTTCCCACTTAAAATTGTTATTTTCCACCATTGATTTGACAGTTTTCCATCTCGCTAAGAAAAATTGGTATCTGTTTTTTACCATTCTCTTGAATGTGAAATATTGTAACATTCTTCCCTTGGAACATTCAATTTCCTCGGTGTAGCATCTCAACAGATCCTTTTGAATGTTTACCTCTATTTCTTGCCTTGTCCCCTCTAACATAAGATTCATGTTTCTGCTTAGTTTAAGGTTTATCTTTCCAGTGGTGAAATATTCTGCATTTTCATTTATTACTAAGCATCCACATTGAAAACCATTAGGGTTGCTCCAGTTGGCATTGTTGAAATTTTCATCAGATGCACTTATTAGTAGCCATGGCTCTCTGTTTATTTTTCTTTTTGTTTCTTCATGTATTTTTCTTCTGTCTGTTCCTTTTGTATTTTGAAAGTCCCATCTTATAGATATTGCTATTTCTGTGAGAGTTGTTATAAGGTCTCTTCTGCAAGTGTAGTTCATGGTAGCACTTATAAGTATGCAGTTTGCATGGCTATAGTTTCCTCTTATGTCCCCATATCTGAAATTCACGATCTCTTCTGAGCTATTGAAATGAAATCTTACATTGGCTTTGTTTCTTGCTGACATGATTCTGATATTAGAGAGTTTGGGACATTGTATAAATCCATCTCTTTCAATCTCTAACGTGTCAGGATATCCATATATAGCTCTCGCGAATTTCACTTCCACTGAGTTTCTGTCATAGCAGTGCTGTAGCATTTCCTCTATTGTCAGACCTTGTATCTTGAAGGACAATAGGACTTTTTTGGTAGTGTCAATATCCCATTTGTGCTTCTTTGCCTCATATATTATAGATCTCAAGGCACGGAGGAGAAGCTTCATTGTATCCTTCTTCATGGCATCTTTGTCTGCTATAGTTATGTTTGTGATAACAAAGTTTGAGTGGCATATTGCATGTTTCATGGTTGCAGAGCTTTCAGAAGATCCTGGTAAAGTAGGGAGACATCTTACTTTCGGGTCAAGGTTGTTAATTAGTATTCTTATTTGGGAAGCAATACCTAATTTCCCTTCAAGTGATAAATTTATTAACAAAGATGCCTCTGATTTCATAGCTGGAGTTATTCTCTTATCAGGTAATGTGAGCTCCGGGAACAATGCTTCCTTGATTAGTGAATTCTGTATTGATTTTGGCACTTCAAATATTGGATTCCTGGTCCTAACATGTCTTCTTTCTATCACGGGCATCCCATATTTGATAGTGGCCCTGCTCCAGTTTATGTTGTAATACTTTTCCACTTCTTCTGTGTGCACCTTATAAAGTACTTTTACAGAATCCTGAATAGATTGATTTGGAACCTCACTCTGAGAGACCCACCAGTCTATGGCCTCTTTTTTGCATAGAATCCTACCATGTGTGTGTCTATCCTCCCCTTCTTTTCCTTTCTGTAGGAACATATTAGGTATTTTATATTCATCAGCCTTCTTTTAGTCTACTGAGATAGGATACTTTAGTCCCATGCATGACATAGCACTTGTTATAGATATTGCTATTTCTGTGAGAGTTGTTATAAGGTCTCTTCTGCAAGTGTAGTTCATGGTAGCACTTATAAGTATGCAGTTTGCATGGCTATAGTTTCCTCTTATGTCCCCATATCTGAAATTCACGATCTCTTCTGAGCTATTGAAATGAAATCTTACATTGGCTTTGTTTCTTGCTGACATGATTCTGATATTAGAGAGTTTGGGACATTGTATAAATCCATCTCTTTCAATCTCTAACGTGTCAGGATATCCATATATAGCTCTCGCGAATTTCACTTCCACTGAGTTTCTGTCATAGCAGTGCTGTAGCATTTCCTCTATTGTCAGACCTTGTATCTTGAAGGACAATAGGACTTTTTTGGTAGTGTCAATATCCCATTTGTGCTTCTTTGCCTCATATATTACAGATCTCAAGGCACGGAGGAGAAGCTTCATTGTATCCTTCTTCATGGCATCTTTGTCTGTTATAGTTATGTTTGTGATAACAAAGTTTGAGTGGCATATTGCATGTTTCATGGTTGCAGAGCTTTCAGAAGATCCTGGTAAAGTAGGGAGACATCTTACTTTCGGGTCAAGGTTGTTAATTAGTATTCTTATTTGGGAAGCAATACCTAATTTCCCTTCAAGTGATAAATTTATTAACAAAGATGCCTCTGATTTCATAGCTGGAGTTATTCTCTTATCAGGTAATGTGAGCTCCGGGAACAATGCTTCCTTGATTAGTGAATTCTGTATTGATTTTGGCACTTCAAATATTGGATTCCTGGTCCTAACATGTCTTCTTTCTATCACGGGCATCCCATATTTGATAGTGGCCCTGCTCCAGTTTATGTTGTAATACTTTTCCACTTCTTCTGTGTGCACCTTATAAAGTACTTTTACAGAATCCTGAATAGATTGATTTGGAACCTCACTCTGAGAGACCCACCAGTCTATGGCCTCTTTTTTGCATAGAATCCTACCATGTGTGTGTCTATCCTCCCCTTCTTTTCCTTTCTGTAGGAACATATTAGGTATTTTATATTCATCAGCCTTCTTTTAGTCTACTGAGATAGGATACTTTAGTCCCATGCATGACATAGCACTTGTTATAGATATTGCTATTTCTGTGAGAGTTGTTATAAGGTCTCTTCTGCAAGTGTAGTTCATGGTAGCACTTATAAGTATGCAGTTTGCATGGCTATAGTTTCCTCTTATGTCCCCATATCTGAAATTCACGATCTCTTCTGAGCTATTGAAATGAAATCTTACATTGGCTTTGTTTCTTGCTGACATGATTCTGATATTAGAGAGTTTGGGACATTGTATAAATCCATCTCTTTCAATCTCTAACGTGTCAGGATATCCATATATAGCTCTCGCGAATTTCACTTCCACTGAGTTTCTGTCATAGCAGTGCTGTAGCATTTCCTCTATTGTCAGACCTTGTATCTTGAAGGACAATAGGACTTTTTTGGTAGTGTCAATATCCCATTTGTGCTTCTTTGCCTCATATATTATAGATCTCAAGGCACGGAGGAGAAGCTTCATTGTATCCTTCTTCATGGCATCTTTGTCTGCTATAGTTATGTTTGTGATAACAAAGTTTGAGTGGCATATTGCATGTTTCATGGTTGCAGAGCTTTCAGAAGATCCTGGTAAAGTAGGGAGACATCTTACTTTCGGGTCAAGGTTGTTAATTAGTATTCTTATTTGGGAAGCAATACCTAATTTCCCTTCAAGTGATAAATTTATTAACAAAGATGCCTCTGATTTCATAGCTGGAGTTATTCTCTTATCAGGTAATGTGAGCTCCGGGAACAATGCTTCCTTGATTAGTGAATTCTGTATTGATTTTGGCACTTCAAATATTGGATTCCTGGTCCTAACATGTCTTCTTTCTATCACGGGCATCCCATATTTGATAGTGGCCCTGCTCCAGTTTATGTTGTAATACTTTTCCACTTCTTCTGTGTGCACCTTATAAAGTACTTTTACAGAATCCTGAATAGATTGATTTGGAACCTCACTCTGAGAGACCCACCAGTCTATGGCCTCTTTTTTGCATAGAATCCTACCATGTGTGTGTCTATCCTCCCCTTCTTTTCCTTTCTGTAGGAACATATTAGGTATTTTATATTCATCAGCCTTCTTTTAGTCTACTGAGATAGGATACTTTAGTCCCATGCATGACATAGCACTTGTTATAGATATTGCTATTTCTGTGAGAGTTGTTATAAGGTCTCTTCTGCAAGTGTAGTTCATGGTAGCACTTATAAGTATGCAGTTTGCATGGCTATAGTTTCCTCTTATGTCCCCATATCTGAAATTCACGATCTCTTCTGAGCTATTGAAATGAAATCTTACATTGGCTTTGTTTCTTGCTGACATGATTCTGATATTAGAGAGTTTGGGACATTGTATAAATCCATCTCTTTCAATCTCTAACGTGTCAGGATATCCATATATAGCTCTCGCGAATTTCACTTCCACTGAGTTTCTGTCATAGCAGTGCTGTAGCATTTCCTCTATTGTCAGACCTTGTATCTTGAAGGACAATAGGACTTTTTTGGTAGTGTCAATATCCCATTTGTGCTTCTTTGCCTCATATATTACAGATCTCAAGGCACGGAGGAGAAGCTTCATTGTATCCTTCTTCATGGCATCTTTGTCTGCTATAGTTATGTTTGTGATAACAAAGTTTGAGTGGCATATTGCATGTTTCATGGTTGCAGAGCTTTCAGAAGATCCTGGTAAAGTAGGGAGACATCTTACTTTCGGGTCAAGGTTGTTAATTAGTATTCTTATTTGGGAAGCAATACCTAATTTCCCTTCAAGTGATAAATTTATTAACAAAGATGCCTCTGATTTCATAGCTGGAGTTATTCTCTTATCAGGTAATGTGAGCTCCGGGAACAATGCTTCCTTGATTAGTGAATTCTGTATTGATTTTGGCACTTCAAATATTGGATTCCTGGTCCTAACATGTCTTCTTTCTATCACGGGCATCCCATATTTGATAGTGGCCCTGCTCCAGTTTATGTTGTAATACTTTTCCACTTCTTCTGTGTGCACCTTATAAAGTACTTTTACAGAATCCTGAATAGATTGATTTGGAACCTCACTCTGAGAGACCCACCAGTCTATGGCCTCTTTTTTGCATAGAATCCTACCATGTGTGTGTCTATCCTCCCCTTCTTTTCCTTTCTGTAGGAACATATTAGGTATTTTATATTCATCAGCCTTCTTTTAGTCTACTGAGATAGGATACTTTAGTCCCATGCATGACATAGCACTTGTTATAGATATTGCTATTTCTGTGAGAGTTGTTATAAGGTCTCTTCTGCAAGTGTAGTTCATGGTAGCACTTATAAGTATGCAGTTTGCATGGCTATAGTTTCCTCTTATGTCCCCATATCTGAAATTCACGATCTCTTCTGAGCTATTGAAATGAAATCTTACATTGGCTTTGTTTCTTGCTGACATGATTCTGATATTAGAGAGTTTGGGACATTGTATAAATCCATCTCTTTCAATCTCTAACGTGTCAGGATATCCATATATAGCTCTCGCGAATTTCACTTCCACTGAGTTTCTGTCATAGCAGTGCTGTAGCATTTCCTCTATTGTCAGACCTTGTATCTTGAAGGACAATAGGACTTTTTTGGTAGTGTCAATATCCCATTTGTGCTTCTTTGCCTCATATATTACAGATCTCAAGGCACGGAGGAGAAGCTTCATTGTATCCTTCTTCATGGCATCTTTGTCTGCTATAGTTATGTTTGTGATAACAACGTTTGAGTGGCATATTGCATGTTTCATGGTTGCAGAGCTTTCAGAAGATCCTGGTAAAGTAGGGAGACATCTTACTTTCGGGTCAAGGTTGTTAATTAGTATTCTTATTTGGGAAGCAATACCTAATTTCCCTTCAAGTGATAAATTTATTAACAAAGATGCCTCTGATTTCATAGCTGGAGTTATTCTCTTATCAGGTAATGTGAGCTCCGGGAACAATGCTTCCTTGATTA